AACTCGTGTCTGAACAGCACGGGAAGACGGGATGCGCAACAGTGGCGTGTCAAATCCGATCGCGCAAGCTTCGGAGCGATCAAAAAAATATGTCACACATTCTGCTCTGGCCCCTCTAACACTATGAAGTGTCAGATGACAGGAACATGAGATGACAACAGGCAATGTATCCCTGGAGATGGTAACAGCCGCTCAGGAAGGTGACCGGCAAGCCCTTGAAAAGGTGCTTGTCGGCATACAGGACCGGATCTACAACCTCGCCCGGCGTGTGCTGGTGAACCCTGAGGATGCAAGCGAAGCCACACAGGAAATTCTGGTCCAGATCCTGACCAAGCTGTCGACATTTAGAGGTGAAAGCGCCTTTTCGACCTGGGCTTACCAGGTCGCCGTTCGCCATATTCTTTCGGCCAAAAAGCTGCGTGACCGCGATATGGGACTCACGTTCGGGATGTTTGCCGCCGACCTTGAAACGGGTCTCGTCGCTGATCCACCCGAAGCGCCTGACCAGGCGCTCCTGCTGAACGAGTTGAGGGTGTCCTGCACCATGGCGATGCTGCTTTGTCTTACGATGGACCTTCGCCTCGCCTATGTGTTGGGCGATGTATTCGAGTTGGACCACGGGGAAGCGTCGGAAATACTGGAACTCGCGCCATCTGCCTATCGCAAACGGTTGTCCCGTGCCCGGTCGGAAGTTATTGCTTTCACGTCCCGTCACTGCGGACTTGTGAGTGCCGAGGCGAAGTGCAGCTGCCCCAGACGTCTTCCAGCTGCCATGAAGGCCGGACGGGTGGTACGAGGCAATCATCCCAATTCGATCGGGTCTTCCCTCAGTTACATTGAGACAAAGCAACAGGTCGAAGCCGTGATTGAGGATCTCAGGTCTTTCAAGCTTCAACGCGCCGTGCCGTATCACAAGTGCCCACAAGACATCCGCACACAATTGACCCGAATTCTGTCGCCGAGCCTCTAGGCTTCTAAGCGAACAGATCCGCCAGACAACTAGATCGTTTAACCAGCTTGGCATCAAGCGGGACTGGCACCGCATTGCCTGAACATGAGGAATGGATACATGCAACTACGAACGCGCGTTCTGACGGCCGTTTGCACGGCCGTTTTCTCAACCTTTTCGACGCTGACCTATGCAGAAGGATCTGAAAAAATGAACCAGGACCAGCAGGATGTTCTGACGCTTGTTCAGAAGATGACAAGCGCCTTCGAAGCCGGAGATCTTGAGACAGTCATGCGGACTTACGAGCCCAATCAGACCATCATGTTTGAGCCTGGAAATCCGGTGTCGGACGGTGAAACGGCAAAGACAGCCTTTGAACGATTCGCAGCCATCTCACCCAGGTTTTCCTACTCCGGACATGAGGTGATCGTGGAGGGAGACATCGCCATCCACATTGCGCCGTGGCAAATGTCGGGCACTGATCCCGATGGCAACGCGATCAAGGGCGAGGGCCTGTCCATCGCGGTTTTGCGCAGACAGCCGGATGGGTCCTGGAAAATGGTCATCGATAACCCGCACGGCAGTCATCTGCTGAAATAACGCCAAACGGGATGGAACCTCAGGCGGCGCGCCGACGCGCGCCGCCTGAAGAACAGAGCAGTGCCTGGCTTGTTCCCGGGCATCAAGCTGCCTAGCGCCGTTTCGTGTCGTCGGGCCGCTTTTGCAGGTTCATGGGGTTTTCGAATATCGGCTTCGGCCACCGTGGATCTCTACAAAATGCAATTGCGGTCGATAGCCAGCGGAATCGGAAGAAGAAGCGCAGCCATTCTTTCTGTTTTTGCTTTCTGAGCTCGATCGCCTGCATTTCAAAGCAGACATGCTCCGGGATCTCATCCGGCCAGAACTCGGCATGGTGCGGATAAAGTTTCCGGCGCGGATCGTTCCATGCGAGACCGGCGTCGCAGTCCGGTTCACCAACATTCAAAAGAGAATAGGGAATTGGCATTTGCAATATCCTCTCATATTTGATTTTCATGAATGAGTTGACACGAAACTTCTCACGAGTTGAGTTTATCTGCATGTTTTTCAATTGAAATTAAGGTTTCAAAAATGAAACAAAGTCTGGATTGGGAGGACCTGCGCCTGTTTCTCGCGGTGGCGAAAGCCGGTGGGCTTGCAGGCGCAGCAGAAAAAACCGGTCTCAGTTCAGCGACACTGGGCAGGCGGGTTTCGTCGTTGGAGCACAGCATGAATGTAAGGCTTGTGGAACGCGAGGCGCGCGGCTACCAGCTTACCCCGGCAGGGCGGGAACTGGTGCTTCAGCTTGAGGACATGGACGAGGTGGCAAGGTCCATTTCCAAATGGCGGCAAAGTGGCAGGACCAAACGCCGCGTTCGCATTTCTGCGGGCGACTGGACCGCACGCTTGCTTCTGGACAATATCTCCGAATTCTGGTCTCCCGACGACCCCTGGGTGCCGGAGTTTCTGGCTGACCCCCGCAATCGGGATGTCGCCCGCCGACAGATCGATATCGGCATCAGGAGCCGGAGACCGAAACAGGAATGGTTGGCAGGCCGGAAGATCGGTACCGTCAGATATGCGGTCTATCAGTCTCAATCAATTGCCAAAGACGTAAATCCGGGCTGGATAGGCGTCGTCGAGGACGAGGCGCACTTTCCGACGGGAAGCTGGATCAGGGAAAACCATGGCGACCAGGTGGTCGTTACCGTGAACAGGGCGGCCCATGCTTTGTCGCTTGTCCGCCAGGGAACCGCACGAATGCTGCTGCCGATGTTTGTCGGCGAGGCTTTTGCAGATTTGCAACGGATTTCCGACCCGATCGACAGTCTGCAGACGGAGCGCTGGCTGGTCATGCACCAGGACGAAAGGCATGAGCCAGCTGTGCGTCAGGCCTTGGCGGCACTGGCAAAACTGTTGAAAACTGACCCGATATTATGTTCGGAATTCTAGTTTTCCATCAAAACAACCTCGTAATTGGCGGAAAATTGCGCGCTCCTTGAATCAAAATTAACTAGGCTCCATATTTAATCGTGAATGGAACCTCTTGGTTCCAGCCTGGATGCCTCTCTAAGGGTCCGGGTGCAAGGTCGCTTCGACAAGGACTTTGAGGATGTCACGCATGTCAGCGTTTTCCAGCCCGTTTATGCTCGGGTTCGACGATATCGAACGTGTGCTCGATCGCGTTTCCAAGGCCGCCAATGACGGCTATCCGCCCTATAACATCGAAAGACTTCCGAAAGTGGAAGGCCAGGGCGATGTAATCCGGATCACCCTTGCGGTCGCCGGATTTACCAGGGAACAGCTCGACGTTTCGGTGGAAGAGAGCCAACTGGTGATACGAGGCAGGCAGGTGGACGACAAGTCTCGCGAATATCTGCACCGCGGCATCGCTGCCCGGCAGTTCCAACGGGCCTTTGTTCTGGCTGAAGGAATTGATATTCTCGGCGCAGACCTGAAGGATGGGCTTCTGTCCATCGATCTGGCACGTCCGGAACCGGAGCGCGTGATAAGAAAAATAGAAATCTCCAGCGGCGAATAGACCCTCGTTGGCTACAAGAATGGAGAAAGACTGATGCACGATCCCAATGGCCCTGACTGGGCTGACCAGACTATTTTGTCCGAATTCATGTCGGCGGACGAACTGACCGAACTCGGTACCGGTGATATCGCCTATATCAAGCCGATCAAGGCAGTCGATCTGAAGGAAATGTTTCCCGACGTCCCGCCCTTGCATGACAATGTGACGCTGTATGCCCTGCAAAATGCAGACGGCACGCCGATCCTGCTGGCAGACAGCCGCGAAGCCGCTGTCGCCAATGCCTTTGAGGCAGAGCTGGAAATGGCGTCACTACATTGAGCAGCACCGATAGACAGAAACACCGGTCCTTGGGCCGGTGTTTTTTTGTTCGCCAAGAAGTTCCTTGACCTGAACAGGGTCACGACTGGCTGTTAGGTGAGAGTTGCCGATGCTTTGAGCAGGAAAGTCGCACGCCTCAGCAGGTTATTTGTAAAATTCATAGAAGACAGATTTAAATTTTCCATTTTGAGAAATAGAATATAAGAAAAATTCAGAAATTCCGTGATATTATTTGAATTAAGACGATCTATTGCCTGTTAGTTTTGACAATTAAACGAAGGTTTCGGTGGGCGCTATATGAAATCTGTCGCTTTGGTTGTATTTGTTCTGGTGTTGCTTTCGTCTCCATTGAGTGCAATGGAACAAATTGTTGTAATGGAGATTCCAAACGTCGCGGAACGGGACAGTTCAGGCTTGTATGACCGTGTGCTCACCAGGGTGCTGGAAAAGTCTGAACTTGAGGTCCTTGTCGAATATTTGCCCATGAACAGGGCGATAAAGGAATTCGAACGCGGCAATTATTCCTGTGTCTACCCGATCGGATTTCGTGGGGTGACAGACGTCGGCACCTCGAGCGTGTTGGTAAATTATTTCAGTTATCAGTTTTTCTCGCTGAATTATCCCCGAATGGCAATTGAAGAGATTGTGGCGGGAGACTACGCGGTCGCTGCTCTGGATTTCGAGGAAACCAGACGTTTGGCGCAGCAGATGGGTCTGGATGTCGACATCTATGTTTCGTCAAACCGCAATTTGGCAAATATGCTGCGTATGGAGCGGGTCGATTTCATTTTTTCCATAAGCCCGGATTTTCCGCTTGAGTTCGAAGATCAGCATGCGCCCGCTGAACTGATACGAAACGGGGATGCCTTCGAACAAACGCCCGACGGTTTCATTTGTTCCGATGATCAGGCGGGAGAGCGGATTCTTCAGAGTTTCAACAGGGCCCTGGCAGAGATGACCAGTGTTGGAGAATTACGGAGCATTATGGGCCCCCTGTATGAAGAACGTTGAGTAGCGGCGAACAGGAAACATGCCGATAAAACGCGGCATGAGCGTCTGCATCTATTGAGAACATCGGAACGCCCGACGGTTCGGTCTCCGTTGGTTCACTTTCCTGTCCGCCCATCCTGAGGGGACGCCTGGAGAACGGCTCTCAAGATAGGCGGGTTCTAATCAGGTAAGGGCGGGCTCTTTTGCCTCCGACCGTGCGTGCTCGGTGGTTTGGTTGCCACCTTCCCTGGGTGAAGAACCCGGGACCGTGCTGGATGGAGGATTGGAGATTGACGGCGGTTTCCGCCAGGGCTGGCTCTTGTACCAGGACACCACATAGGCGACGGCAATCAGCGCAAGGAAGCCACCGAAATTGGTGAACACCTGCGCCAGCCACTCACCGCGGGCCCATGCCATGTCCCGCAGGATGGCCACGGTCTGTGCAATCACGAGGCTCGCCATGAAGACGGCAAGCGACTGCTGACCGACCTTCTGGACAACACGTACAAACCCGCCCCACAGCACGCCGTGTCCAAGAAGGCGTTTGCCATGTTCACCCGCGGCAACCCAGGCGACATAGGCAAGGGCAAGGAAATGCATGTAGCGAAGAATGCCGAATTCGGTCTTGACCCACAGCGGTCTGATGGCCTCGCGCACTTCCTTTGCCCAGACGAGGTCCAGATGGTTCGCGCTGTAGACGCGGAAATATGCGAAAGGCACCGTGATCACGAGGATTGCAAGGGCAAACAGCACGAGGTTTCGGCTGACAGGCGGTGCTGGGATCCAGCCGCGCATGAATGCAAATCCGGTGAAGAAGAGCATCTGCCATGCGAAGGGGTTGAAGAACCACTTGCGGTCCGACCAGGGTTCTGCCGGAAGGTCGAGCAAACCGAATTGTGAGGCCAGCCACAGACCGATTGAAAAGGCGAATGCACCGGGCACCGAGTAACGTGAAATCAGCATGATGGCCGGCATCAGCGCCAGGATCACCACATACATTGGCAGGATGTCGAAGTAGTTGGGTACCCAGGTCATCGTCATCAGACCCGGCAGGGCAATCTCCGTCTTGTTGTAAAGATGCCAGAGGTTCAGTGAATTGACATAGTCCTGCGTCAGGCCGCAGCAGTCGTTCAGGAACCCGCTTTCGTGGACCATCACCAGTCCGACCGCAACGACCAGAAACTGTCCGATAAATGCCCAGTAGACCTGCCACATCCTTTGCGCGATCCTGGCAGCGCCAATACCCCATCCGTAGACATCGAATGTTTTTCCAAATGCCAGGGCGGAGGCCATCCCGGAACAGAATACGAAAATTTCAGTCGCGTCTGAAAAACCGAAACGTGCCGGGATCCACAGCGTCCACCAGTTCCAGGGCACGTGGGCGATGAATATGATGAACATGCCGATGCCGCGAAAGAAGTCGAGTCGCGGGTCGCGCGGACGTTTCGTTTGAGTATGTACGTTCACGTCAAATCCAGAGTATTTCGGTCAAACAGATCCCGGGTGATGCGTCTAGACCGAGTTCGCAGCTCTCAGGTTCTCGTCTTCCATCACCTGCTCGGCGCGCCGCATCTTTCCGCAGATCTCAAGCCGCTGTTCGGCAAAACGGTCAAGTGCGCCGCGCTTGCTGCTACGGCTCTTGATCAGCGTTTCAGCTTCTGACGAAAAACCTGCCCGCAAGCCTGCGTCAATGGTGATGCGTTCGAAAACATCCCGCTGTGCATGCGAGCCGCCGATCGTGTGAAGATTGTCACGGGCAGACGTCAACAGCGAAAACGCTGAGGCGTAGTTGCCTTTGCGGTATTGCTCCAGGCCGAGGCCCGTCGGCAATCCGGCTTCGGCGGAAATCCGGCCGATATCCGTTTCACTCTGCGCGCGTTCTTTCAGGCCGTTCAGCAGCCTGTCGGAGCCCATTCGGCGTCCACCGTTCAGCAGCGCCAGCAGGTAGTGGAGGTCGGCAAACACATTGCAGCCGTCTTCGGCGCGTTTGTCGGAGAGTTGGGCAATTTCTTCCCAGCGGGCGCCGACATCGACCCCTTCCAGTTCAAGACGAACCAGCAGCGAAGCCGCATTGGAAATATCCCGGTAGTCGTCTGTCTTGTCTTTGCGAATGTCTGCATCATAGAGTGCAAGCGCCTTGTCGGCTTCGCCCTGGTCCAGATACATCAGCGCGAGATGCCACCAGACGTGATAACCGAAATTGTTGCAGTGAGCCCAGCCATCCGGATGGTTTTCAAGCCAGCCGGCACCTTCTTCGGAGCGGCCGGTCATGTCGTGAACGTGCGCGACCGCATGCAGGCCCCAGGCATCGTCACGAGCGAATTCCAATCCCTTGCGACCCGAAGCCTCTGCCAGGCGGTAATCGCCGGTCTCCTCAAGGGAAAATGCACGGCAGCCAAGCAGGTAGCCATAGGCCGGATGCTTTTCGTCGTATGCCGAAAAGACGCGTTCAATGGACTGGCGCATCCCGACGGCATCGCCGAGCACAAAACGGATGGCGTGAATGACTTTCATGAGGAACGCGTCTTCGGGAGCGCGCACAAGCATCGCGTCGAGGATGTCCGCGGACCGCGAGGGAAAGCCCTGCATCCAGGTGTCCAGCGCATCGATAAAGGCCTGCTCGCGCTCGGTGACCGGAGTGTGTTGTGCCGAGGTCTTGGCAATCGCCAGGCATTCCTGCGATGTTCCCAGGAGTTCCTTGCGACCTAGCAAAAGACAGAACAGTCCGCGGGCCGCATGGCCAAGAGCGAAATCCGGACTGAGGCTCAGGCATCTTTCAAGATGTTCCGGCGTTGTTTTACCGTGCGCCAGAAAGGCCAGGACAGTCGCGTTCCAGGCCGCCAAAGCGTCTTGGTCGGAAAGAGTGAGATCATACCCAAATTGATCGCTGAGACGCATGTCTGGCCTTTTTGTTTCCCATGCTGGCGACTGTCGCACATCGCACTTTCTGAAGCGGATGGCGGCAGTCAACCGAATGAATACTTACCGCTAAAAATCCGCAGCATTCTCATGAACTGCAAAACACAAAAAGGTGTTGGCAATGTGTAGTGCGCCAAACGACCCTTGGATTGTGAACATATGGCGGTTAATGCAAGGGTAAAGGTCAAAATTTCGGCAGTCAGGCACAGTCGACGAAACCGGTATCGGACCGGACAGGAAGCGGAAATAATGGCGGTTACCATTGCGAAGTCTCAAGGCACGGTCATAGCGGTTGCGACCGGTCTTTTGGCCGTGATCGCAATCGGTGCATATAACGAAGCCGGCATGCGACAGGCTGTCGCAGTGTTGATCGGCGGTGTCGCGGGGCTCTCTCTTTACCACGCGAGTTTCGGTTTTACGGCTGCCTGGCGCAGGATCGTGACCGAAAAACGTGGCGCGGGCCTCCGGGCGCAATTCGTTCTCATTCTTCTGACGAGCGTGGTCTCCTTTCCGTTGATTGCCTGGGGCAGTCAGCTTGGCTGGCCCACCGGTGGTTTCGTGTTTCCATTCGGTGTGGCGGCCGCCATTGGAGCTTTCATGTTCGGACTGGGCATGCAGCTTGGTGGTGGTTGCGGATCCGGTACGCTCTTTACGGCAGGTGGCGGCTCCACCCGCATGATGATCACGCTTGCAGCCTTTGTCCTGGGGTCTGTTCTGGCAACGGCGCATCTGCACCTCTGGGGACGTCTGCCGAAGTTGCCCGCCATCTCTCTGATAAGGGAATTGGGGCCTCACGGAGCCTTTCTGCTAACGGCCTGCGTACTTGGTGTGCTGGCCATCGTCACGATCCGGATCGAACGAGGAGCGCATAGCGACCTTGCCACATCACGAGCGACGGAATCGTTCCTGACAGGGCCGTGGTCACCGATGCTGGGTGCAGTCATGCTGGCGGCCGTCGGCATCGCAACATTTGTCGTGGTCGGGCGGCCCTGGGGCATCACGTCGGCCTTTGCGCTTTGGGGTGGCAAGTTCTTCCATGCGATCGGCGTTCCTGTCGATACCTGGCCCTACTGGACGTGGCAACGCGGTGCACTTGAAAACTCGGTCCTCAGGGACACGACGTCCGTTATGGATTTCGGCGTCATTCTCGGGGCCATGGTCGCTGCCGCGCTGGCGGGCCGGTTTGCTCCGGTCTGGCGCCTCAGCCGCCGAGACCTGTGGACTGCGATCGCAGGTGGACTGCTCATGGGCTACGGCGCACGTCTTGCCTATGGCTGCAACATCGGCGCGTATCTGGGCGGGCTTGTCTCCGGATCCCTTCATGGCTGGCTTTGGTTGCTTTTCGGGTTTCTCGGCAGTCTGCTGGGAACCCGATTGAGACTTAAGCTCGGCATGGGATGATCTGAAGACCTCGGACAAACACCCGATTGTGAGGGCCGCGTGAGTTCGTCTGCGGTAACTTGCGGCTCATTTCACTGCCTGGTCACGGGAGACAGGACATGCGGGTGCTGGTTGGTTGCGTTTTTCTATTGTTGTGTATGACCGGAATGGTTTTGTCCGACAGCGTCCCTGTCCGGGATGGCTGGCGGGTGATGCCCACGGAAAAGCCGTATCAGACGCTCGTCGACGATCTGAAGTCGGCCATCAAGGCGGAAAAGATGCTTCTGGTCACCCAGGCTAGCGCTTCCGGTGGCGCGAAGGGCCGCAGTCTTACGATCCCGGGCAACAGGGTGATGGGTGTCTATCGCAATGATTATGCGATCAGAATGCTCGAAGCTTCCGTTGCCGCCGGTATTGAAGCACCGATACGATTTTACGTGACGGAGAACAGTGATGGCACGGCAACCCTGTCATGGAAAACGCCCGGCTTCGTTTTCGCGCCTTACATGGAGGAGGGGGGCGAAGCGCTCCGCGAACTCGCGGCAGAGCTCGATGGTGTTTTCCGGACCATCGCTGAAAACGCTGTTGCATCACGGTAACACACTGCATTGAATTTGCGTTTCTTTTTGGGGATGAAGCGCGTTTAACCTTGTGATGCCACATTTCAGGCGCGACACTGTTCATGTCGTTAACAACCGAAAGGAGGTGTGCCCATGTCTAATGAGTATCGGAACGTGGCCCGGGGATCTGGGTGGAATCGAACGGTGCTGGAGCAGCCTCTGGTATCGGACAGTTTCGCCGGGATTTGATCCGGACCTGGGGTCTACGTCGATCTCATGGGAGGGCCGCTATGCGGCCCTCTTTTGTTTTGCGGGCAGCCGGAAACAGGCGTGTCAGACCAGTCCGGCGGCTTTGCGCACATCTTCGTCCCGCAAGGAACAGTCGATACCGCGATAGGTGTCGCCAGCCTCCGTGCTGAGCCAGCAGATGGCCTCACCGACCCAAGCGGCGGGGATGTGCACGGAAGGGTCCAGCTGGCTGACCGGATTGATGCCGGACGCCTTGATGTCGACCTGCATCTGGGTTGCGACGGTGCCGGGGCTGAGGCCGATGACACGCAAACCCTTTTCTCCGAATTCCTTTTCCCCGCAGCGGGTCAGCGAGAGCGCTGCTGCCTTTGACGAACAATAGTGGCTCCAACCCTCCAAAGCGCCGGTTGCGGCACCCGAACTGATATTGATGATCGTGCCTGCGCCTTTTTCAAGCATATGCGGAGCGGCGGCGCGAAGTCCGTGGTAGACACCCTTCACATTGACGTCGATCACCGTGCCCCACGCGTCGGGGTCGGACGCCTCAATTCTGGTGATGGGTTCGATGACGCCGGCATTGTTGACGAGGATGTCGATTGTGCCGAATGTCTCCACGCATTGCGCGATCGCGCTTTCCACGTCGCGATAGTCGGCGACATTGCATGTGATGGCAATTGCTTCGCCACCGTTTTCGTTGATATCCGCCGCAATCCGCTCGATATCGTCACCTGACCGTGCCGCCAGGGCAACCTTGGCGCCGTATCTTGCCAAACTCCGTGCCGCAGCTTCACCGATACCGCGGCTGGCACCTGTCACCATGGCAACCTGTCCTGACAAATCAAACATAGAGTGTTCCCGAGTTATATGGACCCGACCGGTCCTTGTTGAACTTGGCGCAAACTTAGTGGCAGAAAGCATCGGAATAAACAGCTTGTTTGCAGCAACTTCGTGTAAGAATTACACGAATGCTTGAAAACTGTATTTTAGCGATTTGATGTTGCGTACAACATTCCGACTGAAAAACGAGGCACAATTGATGGCGGCTGATAAACCGGTTCTGCAGACTTTGTTTCGTCAGCTCTATTTTGGTCACTCAACCAGGGCACGGGTGTTCAGATATGTACTCCTGGCCTTCGATCTGATCACGATCGGCTATTTCATCGTGTCTTCCGTGATGGATCCCGAGCGGCACTTTCATACGCTTGATTACGCAATTGCCGCTGTTCTCGCGCTGGACTACGTTGCCCGGTTGATTGCCTCCGCGACGCCGGCCAGGTACATATTCAGCTTCACGTCGGTCGCGGACCTGGTTGTGATTGCTTCTCTTGTTGCCCCGGTTTTTCTGGAGAATTTTGCCTTCCTGCGTATCGTCCGGATGCTCAGGTTGCTGCGGTCCTACCACCTGCTGAAAGAGTTGCGTGAAGCGTCGAGCTGGTTCCGCCGAAACGAAGACATTCTGCAGTCAGCTGTCAATTTGGTTGTGTTCATTTTTGTCGTCACGGCGATCGTCTTTGTCGTTGAGGATGACCGCAATCCGAACATCAACAACTATCTGGATGCGCTCTACTTCACAGTGACCACGTTGACGACGACAGGCTTTGGCGACATCACGATGACGGACAGTGTCGGACGCCTGATGACAGTCCTCATCATGATATTCGGCGTTGCCCTGTTCTTGCGGCTGGTGCAGACGATTTTCCGTCCCTCGAAGGCACAGCTTGCCTGCCCGGACTGCGGCTTGAACCGCCACGACACCGATGCCATCCACTGCAAGCACTGTGGTCGCATGTTGAACATTCCAACGGAAGGCGCCTGGGATTAGGTATTTGTGTCTCGCTGACTTGTGATGACGCCAAGCTGGACAAACGGACCGGAAAAACCATTCTCTTCTGGCAGTCTTTCCGCGCTGGGCAGACGAAGAAGCGTGTCACAGGAGCCGGTCTTGTTTTTTGAAAAGTATCCATCTGCGGTCCGCGCCGCCCTTTTGGCCTCCGCGCTTGTGGCAGGCCCCGCGTCGGCTGATGACCAGTCCGGGTGTGGCGAAGAGATCCCGTGCAACGTCGACAACGGGGAATATTACATCCACCTGCCTGAGAACCTGGACGACAGTTCACCGCTCGGTGCGATTTTTTACCTGCACGGCCACCGTGGCAAGGCAGTCAATGCTATCCGCAACAAGGGCTTCCAGCGCATGGCGGACGACCTCGGGGTGGCCTTTGTGGCGGTTCAAGGTGTCAACGGTACATGGTCGTTTCCAACCGCCCCCAGAAATCTGCGTGACGAGCCGGTGTTTTTTGACACGGTTCTGTCTGACCTGGAAAACCGCTTCGGCATCGACAGGGACCGGACGATGCTTTCGGGATTTTCTTCCGGCGGCTTCATGACCTGGTATATTGCCTGCGAAGATTCCGATCGTTTTTCGGGTTATGCGCCGATCGCCGGCGCATTCTGGGAACCGCTCCCGGACACTTGCCCCGCAGAAAATCCGTACCTTTTCCACGTTCACGGAACCAGCGACACGGTTGTTCCGCTCGCGGGACGCTGGCTGGGAGGAGGCAAGTGGAAACAGGGTGACGTATTTGAAAGCTTCGATGTCTGGCGGCGCCAGAACGGGCTCGTGGAAGAGAAATCTCAAAAGCTTTCCGACGGCAATCTGGAATGCGAGCGCTGGGCACCGGAAGAAGGGCTTTTCGAGCTATGCCTTCATACCGGGGGACACAGCGTGGAAGCCAAGTGGATCAAGCGTGCCTGGAACGAACTCGGTACCATCAAGGGCTGGGATCGGAAAAGTTGAGTTTTCACATTGCCTTAACAGGAATGTGAGGCAAGGTGTTCATCGTGCATGCAGACCGGAGTTGACGGGAAAGGGGCTATGTGCCCATTTCCCCGGATCTTGTCAGTCTGAAGGTGTTGCGTGTCCCAGCCCACCAGCGCATCCGGAGCCCTTTCCGGTCTCGTTGTCCTCGATTTGTCCCGTATTTTGGCCGGGCCAACCTGTTCGCAGGTCCTCGGTGATCTCGGTGCGGAGATCATCAAGATCGAACGGCCAGGCCGCGGTGACGACACACGTGGCTGGGGTCCGCCGTTTTTGAAGGATACGGATGGGAACGAGACCGCCGAAAGCGCCTACTATCTGTCGTCCAACCGGAACAAGTCGTCAGTCGCCATCGATCTCGCCAGTGCGGACGGCCAGAAACTTATCGCGGATCTCGCAGCCAGGGCGGACATCCTTCTTGAGAATTTCAAGGTGGGCGATCTGAAGCGGCGAGGGCTAGACTACGACACGCTCCGGAAAATCAATCCTGGTCTGATCTATTGTTCGATCACCGGCTTCGGACAAACCGGACCCTATGCGCATCGCGCCGGGTACGACTTTCTGATCCAGGGCATGGGCGGGATCATGTCTCTGACCGGATTTCCGGACGATGAAGGCGGCACGGAGACCAAATGCGGAGTCGGCATTGCGGATGTGATGTGCGGCATGTATGCGGCGGTTTCCATCCTTGCCGCCCTCAATCACCGGAATGGGTCGGGTGAAGGCCAGCATATCGATATCTCGCTCCTGGACGCGCAGGTTTCCTGGCTGATCAATCAGGGTGCCGCGTATCTTGTCTCTGGTGATGTGCCAGGCCGGCTTGGCAACGGGCATCCGACTATTGTTCCCTACGAAACGTTTCCCGCAAGCGATCAGTCATTCATCATTGCCGTTGGCAATGACACCCAATTCAGGAAGTTCTGCGAAGTTGCCGGAGCGCCTGAACTGGCGGATGACCCGCTCTATGCACGGAATGCTGACCGGGTCCGCAACCGGAAGCGGCTGGTGCCATTGATCCGCCGCCTGACGATCGAAAGGACTGCCGCAGAGTGGATCGCGCTGCTGGAGGAGGCCAGTGTGCCTTGCGGACCTGTAAACAATCTCGGTCAGGTGTTTTCAGATCCGCATATCCTGGAAAGGAACATGCGGATCACGCTGCCGCACCCGCTCAGCGGTTCTGTCGATCTGATCGGATCGCCCATCAATCTGGAAAAGACACCGGTCAGCTATGACAAGGCTCCACCGATGCTCGGAGCCGACACTGCGGACGTCCTTCAGCGGCATCTCGGCTTGACCGAAGAAGCTTTGAAAGACCTTTGTGCCAAGGGCATTCTGGATCTTGGAAATTCATCTGACAAAAAGGACCAAACAGCCAAATGACAACCGGCGCAGACATTATTGCCGGCAAGCTATTTGCCGCCGGCTGCCGACATGCTTTCGGAATTCCCGGTGGCGAGGTTCTGGCCCTGATGCAGTCCCTGGACCAGGTTGGTATGAATTTCGTGCTGGTTAAACACGAAAACGCCGGCGGGTTCATGGCCGAAGGCGGCTGGCACGCCGATGGCGCACCGGGCGTGCTGCTGGCGACGCTCGGTCCGGGTGCGGCGAATGCCGTCAATGTCATTGCCAATGCATGGCAGGACCGTGTTCCCCTGGTCTTCCTGACGGGGTGTGTGGATCAAGGCGAGGCGGAGAGCTATACCCACCAGGTGTTCGACCATCAGCAGCTGTTGCGCCCGATCGTCAAGGCGAGTTTTTCTGCGCGTCTCGGTGCGCTGGATGTGATGATGGAAAAGGCGCTTGCCATCGCGCTCGATGGACAGCCGGGTCCGGTTCATATCGATGTCCCGATCCGGGTCGCCGAGATGGAAACCGAAGAAAAATGGTCAAACACCTTCCGATCAGCACCGGTCGGATCCGCGCCCGCTGCGGGATCCGAACTTGAAACGGCCATCGATCTGTTTGCAAAGGCGGAACGGCCGATCGCGATTGCCGGTGTTGATGCGGTCAATGAAGGCGCTTCAGCCGGGATCAGCGAGTTCTGCAGGAAGTTCCGTGTGCCTTTGGTCACGAGTTACAAGGGCAAGGGTCTGCTCGACGAAAACCATTCGCTTGCACTCGGCGGTGCGGGGCTTTCACCGAAGGCAGACGGACATCTGCTGCCGTTGATAAACGCAAGCGACTGCATTCTGCTGCTTGGCTATGATCCGATCGAGATGCGTATCAACTGGCGCGATCCCTGGAACGCGGACGCCAATGTGATCGATGTGACTCCGGTTCTCAGAACGCACGGCATGCATAGCGTATCGGCAACATTGCGAAGCGCCACGATGCCGGTTCTGAACGTTCTGGGCGAAGCAAGAGACCCGGAGCACCGCTCATGGGAAAATGGTGAACCGGCGAAGGTCCGACAGGAACTGGACGCTGCATTTGCGCCGGAGCAGGACGGCTGGGGACCGGGAACCGTCTTTCACACCCTTCGCGGTGTGATGCCGGCCGACACCGTGGCAACGGCGGACAGCGGAGCGCACAGGATCCTGGCCAGCCAGATCTGGCGATGCCCGTTGCCGCGTCAGATGCTGCAGTCCTCCGCCTTGTGCACAATGGGATGTGCCGTTCCACTGGCCATGGGGCACCGGCTTGTCGAAGGCGCTTCACCCGTCGTCGCCTTTGTCGGCGATGCCGGTCTGGAGATGTGCCTGGGCGAGCTTTCGACCCTTCGGGATCTCAAGATTCCGGTCATCATCTGCGTGCTCGTCGACACCAGCCTGGCACTGATTGAATTGAAACAGCGCGGAAGCCAGCGTCCGAACGTGGGTGTCGATTTCGGCGAGACCGATTTCCCCGCCGTTGCCCAGGCCTATGGCGGTCACGGTGTCTGGATCGACAGTGCCGACGACTTGCAGCGGGAAGCCGCGCAAGCTCTGGAGCGGGATGGCTTCACGGTACTCGCCTGCCGCATTTCACGCCGGGCTTATGACGGCGCCTTTTGATGAAAATGAAGGCAGGTGCGGCCGGCTAACCGGCCTGCACTGTTTCAAGACGGCTGCCATGTGTAAGCAGTTCCGGTGTTGTGACCCATAAGGTCGGGTGTTGCGACCGCGTCCCGGACACAATCAATGCCGTCCTCCGGCGCTAAGTCGCGAGCGTCGGTCATGCTCTGGCTTCGCGTTCCATGCGGTCTGCCCAGGCATCGGCAAGATCGGCGAGCACCGCCTTGAACTGGCGCTTTGCCGCTGTTTTGAACAATGTCCTCATGAGAAGATTGCCCTTTGGCGTGGCTTCGATGTCGATCGTGAAGGTCGAGCCATTCTCCTGTGGCACGACCGACCATGCGCCGTGGAGTTTCGAGATCGGATAGGGGTAATCGTCCGCCTCTGTGTGAATACGAAATCCGAACGCGTGACCTTCGTCGAACAGATCGCAGGTTTCGAGCCAGTTTTCTCCCTTTGGGCCGTAACACCTGCGCTGCATGCCTTCACCATTGCCTGCGACAACCTCGACCTTGGATATGTTGTCCGCCACATCGGCGTAACGGGGATGGTCTGTCATGACTTTCCAGACAACATTCCTGGGGGCATCAACTGTGCGACTGACCTTGGCGAGAAGTTTGTCGCCGGAGGACTTCACGGTGGCCTGGCTGAGAGGAACAACAATATCGCGGGCGCCCAGATATTGGCCGATCGCAAAAACTGCGACGAAAACAGCAACAGCGACAATCACCGCCTGTCCAGTCCCCGAAAACAGTTGGCTGCCGAACGCCAGCAGCAAGATGCTGGCCAGAACCCAGCCGATATCCATTGCGGTTATCAGCAGCACCTGACCCTTGGCGACGAAGCGGTCGGTCGCCATCAGTGTCAGATCGAGTGCGAACACGATCAATCCCGCACCCAGAATACACAAGGAGAGGTTCTGCCATCCGGCGGTGTCAAGAAACAGGATTTCAGCGGAAAAGCCCGGCAGGAATAGCAGGTTAGCTCCGGTAATCAGCGAAAAGGCCGCGTTGAGCCCGAGAAAGATGCGGGCAGTTCCGGAATTTTTCATGGTGAAGTCTCGCTCGTCAGTTATCGATCGCCGGCAATCCTGCTGCTGAAGAAAATTCTTCTCAATTACATTGGAGGTAATAGACCTGTGTGCAGTTTTCGGTCAGGAAAGGAAAATGAGCTACAATCCGAACATGGACGAACCGACATTTCCTGGGTTCTTGAAGAATTGGCGACTGCGGCGCAGACTTTCGCAATTGGAGCTGTCGCTGCAATCTGGCATGTCGCAACGACACATTAGCTTTCTGGAAACCGGAAGATCCAATCCCAGTCGTTTTGCAATTGTGCAATTGGCAGAAGCGTTGCAAATGCCCGCGGCAGAAGTCGATGCCATGCTGCTCTCGGCGGGGTTCGCTGCCAAGTCCTCGCGCAATGGCTGGAACGGCTCTATTCAAAGAGCTGTTGAGGCTTCCGTCGATCACGTGCTCAAAGGGCATGAACCCTTTCCGGCAGTTTCAATCGACCGGATTTGGAATTTGTTGAAAGCGAATGAAGCCGCACAAAGGTTCTTTGCGCTCGCCGGCGCGCGCGGCGACAACAATCTATTGCGCGAGATTCTCGCGCCCGGGCCATTGCGAGAGCGAATCGTGAATTGGCAAGAGACCGCCCGAGCCCTGTTGAGGTTGCTGGAACTGGAAATCACACGCCGTCCCCATGACCGTGAGGCACATGCGCTTTTCGCCGAGCTAAGGTCGTTCGATGGAGTGGATGAACTTTTGTCTCACCCCAGTTCAGGTGTGAGCGCGCCTGTGATGACGATCCGGTTTCGGATCGAAGAAACCGAGTTGGAGTTGTTTTCGCTCATCGCGACGATCGGCATGAGCGCCGACGCGACGCTTGATGATTTGCGGATCGAAACTCTTTTGCCGGCAAATGATGTAACGCGTGACTGGTTCCAAAGCCGCTTCCTGCAATGACCGCCGATGGTTGCGGGCTCGCTGGTTGCGAATTCGGGTGTTGAGAAGACAGAGCTGAAAACGCCAGGCCTGAATTTGCGCAGGCTGCAGCGTTTTCAGTCGGTGCGTACGAGGCGAACTGGAAACCTGAGAGTATCGCTTACGGCAACACCGCCGTGCCTTCGATTTCGACCAGAAATTCGGGCAGCGCCAGGGACTGCACACCAAGCCAGGTATTGGGAGCCGGCGTGACCTCTCCCCAGAATTCTCCAAGGGCCATGCCAACCGGTTCGAGTTTTTCCGGCGTGTGGTTCACGACATAGGTCCGAAGACGGATAAGGTGCTGCGGACCGAGGCCCTGGTCGGCGAGCACGGCCTTGAGATTTGCCAGACACTGCCGGGCCTGAGCGTTCAAATCATCGCCGCCCACAAGTTGACAATCCTTGTCCCAGGCTACTTGTCCGGCGAGATGCAGCAGGCGTCCGGGTTCAGAGACAGCAGCATGGGAAAATCCCCATTGAACGCTGTTATAGAGAGTGTCGGGATTTATGCGGTCGGACATGGGAACCTCTTGTTTGAACCAATGCGGCGTTGCCTTTCGGCAGCTGTTTGACCGGCATGGCGTTGGCGATCCTGATCGCAAAGTCCATTTCGTGTGTCAGAACCAGTGTTCGCGCTTGGATGTTGTTCTGCCGGTCGTGCGACTATTCTTGACCGCCGCAACGCATTTGACCAGACCCCCGGTTCCGGATGTCAGGCAATCCTGTCCTGAACCTGAATCGCGTGATGAGTGGAATGGGAGCGGCAAAGCTGTCCAGATGCTGTCGCCGCTCCCACGATCTTGCTGTTTCCGGTTGACGATGTGCCATGGGAAGATGTCCGAAAATTCAGATCAACCTATCGGCATTTGAATGTCCCGGCTAACCGCGTCGGGTTTTGCCGGCCCGGAAGCCGAATAGACCTGCGACGGCTCCCGCCAACAGGAAGCCGGCAGCTGGCAGCGGTACGGTGGTTGGTGTCATGACGGCATAAAATTCATCCATACGCGCCTGCCGCAGAATGCCGACTTTGCCAACAAACTCTGTGCCGAACAGAGAAAGGGAAGAGACATCAAATGATCCCGCAAGGCCTGTAACATCGACGAAGCCGGTGCGGGGTATCCTTGCCGGGTCGCTTGGTCCAAGTACACCCGGAAGGAAATCCGAGAGACTGACCGGGATTCCGATTGTTGGATCAAGCGCGGTTCCGCTTGCATTTAAGGTCGTGAAAAGCAGCGGATTGAGGCCTTCGTCCAGGATGCGAATCCCGACCGCGTCGGCGCCGCCAAACAAGTCGGCAGAGAACAGCCTGAGCAGAAACGAGGTCGGCTCCAGTTCCGTTGCTCCGTATGTGGGAAATGCATAACTGCCACGAATCGTGTCACCCGGATTGACTGGAATCGCGTGGGCAACGCCGGAGCAAAGCATCAAGATCGAGGCAAAGGTGATGAGTCGGTTGAACATGGGTAAATTCCTTTCGTGAAAATGACGGCTAATTTGCGCGGGATACCGGTGCCGAAAAAATGGCATCCTGGATCAGGCGACACTCGTTGGGTCCTTCAATCCCGTCAGCCTTTGCAGTGTCGGGAAAGGGAGGCGGCAGGCTGTCGCCTCTGCACCCGCCGCGATAACTTGTCAGCATCGATGCCGAAATCTCTGGGATCAGCGGACCGTGGTCATTCAGTACCAGGTGAATCTCCGCTTTTGACGGCGCGTCGAAACTCTGTTCGAACCACCCGTTTTTGACATCACCGGCAGCCAGAAAGGCCGCAAAGGCTGCGGTTCCGTCCGGCTGGTTGACGACCCCGTCCGCGTAAACAATCTGCGTTCCGACCTCTTCGGCCCGGCCGATGACATCTTCCGCTGTGCAGGGAGACGCCGAACAGTTCTCCGGCTGCGTCATGATCACCCACCACGCAGTGGTCACGTGGCCCGGCGTGAGTTCGGAGGTACGCAGGGTCATTGTTGCTCCTTCGGTGCTCCGCAACAGCCGCGCTTCTGCACCAAGGATGTGCACCGCCGGAGTTTCCGCCGTCGCCATGTGTTCGACAGGTCGCGAAGCAATTGCTCCGTCTGCGGCAAGGGAAGGGGATCCAAGGCAAGCGGCACTGGTGCCGACCAAAAAGATCTGCCGGAAAAGTCTGAAGCATTTGGCCATGGTGTGATTCCTTTCTTTTACGGTTGATTTCTCTTTGACTTCCCGGTTCTCACGGCTCATCGGTCGAAGCGTTCGGCGCAATATTCTGGTTGGAACTGAACAGGTTATGCGGGTCGTACCGACGCTTGATCGACGTGAGACGATCGAGGTTGCCGCCATATGCGCTGGAAACGTCTCCGGAGCGTTCGGCAATGAAATTCACGTAGGAGCCGGGAACTGCATGGTCGGCGATCCGTCTCGAGGCGGATTTCAGCCATCCGGTCATGGCGGTGTCTGCCGACGGGTCGCGCCAGCGAACACCTGGTGTTGAAACGAAGGGAACATCGCGATGAGGAAACGCGGTCGTGTCGTTATCGACGTCCGCGACAGCACCTCCCAGAAGGCAGATCAGCAGTTCGGATTCGGCTGTCGGCAGTTCTGGTGCCATATCGACCAGTGTGTCGATCAACGAGGGTGTCAGCGCACGATGATTGTGTGTGCGCCAGTAGTTTCGCGCACCAAAATCATAGGTCTGGTCGAGAAAACTTTGCGCCTCCGTGTAAGCGCGTGGCGCAAGGGCGCTGCCGACAGGCTCGACTCCGCCGTAAAGATGCCGCACGACGCTGTATCCCGCGTCCGGTGGTCCTGCGAAGAACTGCATCAGTGTCAGCACTTTCGCCCCATGAAGATTGTCCGGTAGGGCAGGGGTTGCGGGTGCCGTCATCAGGTTGGCCCAGACACAGGATTCGCGGGGCAGCATCGGGGCGTGTTCGGCGTAGGCTGCCAGAACCGTCCTTGCATCTTTCAGGGCAAAGAAAGTGGGTCCGAAAAGGACAGTGGGGTCGAGTGCGTGAAGCTGGAACGTGAATTCGGTGACGACCCCAAAATTGCCCCCACCACCGCGAATGGCCCAGAAGAGGTCGGTGTTCTCGTCGTCTGAACACATCACGATTGATCCGTCGGCAAGAACGATTTCGGCGGACAGAAGATTGTCGACGGCCAGCCTGTGCAGCCTGGCCAACCAGCCAAAGCCACCGCCAAGGGTAAGTCCGGCAACGCCGGTCGACGAGACAACGCCTCCGGGTGTCGCCATGCCCTGTGTTTGCGCAGCTGCATCAAACTGCCTCCATGTGGCACCGCCACCCACATGCGCAGTCCGGTTAACTGAATTGATCCGGACACTGTTCAGCGCCGACATGTCGATCATCAGCGCGCCATTTGCTACCGCCGAACCCGCGATATTGTGTCCACCGCCTTTCACACATAAGGCCAATCCCCGCTCCGCTGCCGTTTTGACAGCACTGGAGACATCTTCCGGGTGGCGCGCCGGCACAATTGCTATCGGTTTGCGGTCAATTGCGGCGTTCCAGACCTGTCGTCTTTCATCAAATTCCGGATTGCCTGGAAAAACGGCATCGGAGCCGAGACGCGCTGCCAGCAAGTTCAGTCGAGTTTCTTCCATGATGCCATCTGCCATTCGTTGCCATTCACTGTCGGCAGAAGTCTGTCGCGAGTTTCCGGCACAAAAAACTCATGAATGTGAAGTAACTACAGATTCCGGAGTTGTCCGAATTCGGGGTGCGCCGTACTCTTTCAGTTCTGTTGCAGGATGTGAGGAGTGTCGGATGCCGTACAAAGGTTATGGACAATACTGCCCGCTCGCCCTGGCTGCTGAAGTCCTCTGTGAACGCTGGACTTTGCTGGTGATTAGCCGGGTGATCGACGGGTGCACACGCTTCAATGAAATTCATCGCGGCGTTCCGAAGATCTCGGCCACTTTGCTCAGTCAGCGGTTGTCCAGTCTGGAGCATGCCGGCTTGATTACGCGCCGGGCCCTGGAAAACGGCCGGGGATTTTCATACGAATTGACGGATGCCGGGCGTGAACTCGATCCGATCATCATGAGCCTTGCCGTTTGGGGTCAGAAATGGTCGCGGGATATGGAAACCGAAGATCTTGATCCGGCATTCTTGGCGTGGAGCATGCACACAAGGCTGAATGTCGAGGCCATGCCCGCGCACCGTATTGTCATGGAATTTGCCTTTTCCGGGACGCACAAGGGCTTGAGCCGCTTCTGGCTTGTGGTTGAAGACGGTCACGTCGACATGTGCCTTAAGTATCCCGGTCTGGAGGTGGATGTCGCCATCTCTTCGGATATCAGGCGATTTGTCGAAGCCTGGCGCGGCATACGAGATCTGCGCAGCGAAATTGCCAGCGGTCAGGTGTCCGTGTCTGGCTCGACGGCCTATCGCAGGGCACTGCCGGACTGGTTGATGTTGAGCGCATTGGCACTATTTCCCAGACAAACCGGTAACGAGGCAGGTGCCGGAGAACCGCATATTGCGCGGACGGGTTAACAATGGTCGGATGGCGCGTACCAATGCGTCATTGGGCCATCGGTCTCCGTTGTCACTCATGTCGCGCCCATTGCAGCGGACCGGAGTGCAGCGGACCGGAGTGCTGCAGACCGGCGTGCGATAATCGTGCGATCCCGACAGCAACATGATGTGTCGATCAATTGTTGATGTCGTCCGCAAGGATGCGATTGTCCGGCACCGCAATTCGGCATCCTCTCCAGGCTAAAGAGAATGGATGAAACAACCTTTCGGAGTGCGGTTGACGATTGTCGCCACAATAATTATACACTGTATAAAAAGAGGAGGAAATCGTGCCGACCGGTCACACGATGATGGCAATGTCGCTTGATGGTTTTGTCGCGCGAAAGGATCACACCCTCGATTGGTTGATGAAGCTCGACACCGAGGGTGAAGACTACGGATTTGCCGCTTTTCAGAACAGCATCGATGTCATCGTGATGGGCTCCGGCTCCTTCAGGACGGTCCTGGGATTTGGCGAATGGCCGTACCGGAAACCGGTCATCGTAATGAGCAGGTCACTTGCCGATGATGAGATCCCCGAAGACGTTATGTCCAAGGTCGAGCTGAGCCGGCTCTCACCGGCCGAACTCATGTCGCGTCTCGGTGAGCGTGGTATTGGCCGGGTCTATGTGGACGGCGGCGCTATCATCCGATCGTTCATGCGCGAAGGCCTGATTGCAGACATGCGGGTTGCGATTGCTCCTGTTCTCATTGGTGAAGGTATCCGCATGTTCGGAGAACTGGATCGTGACATCGACCTGAGACTCGAAAGCGTGGACCGGTTCAAGTCGGGACTGATCCATATGTACTACGTGGTGATTTGAGTGATGTCGTCTGGCAGGCTCAAAGGGCGCCCGCAGAAAGGCAGTCGCTCCATTTCCAGGGAACATATACTTTCGACCGCACTTCCGTTGCTCAATGAGCAAGGTTTGGAAGCAGTGTCTTTTCGGCGTTTGGCCGATGCGTTGAACGTGACCGCGATGGCGATCAAATACCATGTCGGCAGCCACAGGAGTTTGATTGCCGCGCTGATACGAAACGCCTTCGAGGGTACCCTTACTCATATCGAGGGCAACACCCCGGAAGAACGTCTCAGACACATACTCTCAACTTACTGCACCCGGGCCTTGGAAAATGCGAACGTTGTGCGCTGCATCCTGAACGATCCATCCTTGATGAGCGGCGAGATCGTTACAGTCACGGAAGAGATCCGGAAAAACACCAGAATGCTCAACAATGGCGACGAGCAGGACGTGCTGCTCAATCTGCTGGTCGACTACACACATGGCTTTGTTTTTTCCGCAGTTGCAGCGCCGTCAAATCATGGTCTGACCCTGGACGATTATCTGCGGAGTGTCGATTGGGTGCTGAAAGCAGGTCAGTCCGCACAAGTTTCAAATTGAAGTTCCGAGCGGATCGTTCGTGTCTGTTTTCTGAATGTATTCCGGGACTGGCCGCTGTCCGGACCGGCTCGCATTGGCTTTTGCATCCGGTAGTGATGACGCCTTGCCACCTCTCTTTGGCTACTGGACCTTGATCGATCGTCGGCTTATGTTGCACCTGCGAAGTAAGCGGGACCTTGGCGGGAACTGAAGGTCTGGGAGGGCAAACAATGATAATCTGCCGGACAAAGGCGGATATGCGCGAAAACGTGCGGAACTGGAAACGGGTGGGACAAACGGTCGGACTCGTGCCGACAATGGGATACTTGCACGAAGGGCATCTTGCTCTGGTCCGTATGGCGATCCAGAAGGCAGACCGGGTCGTTGCGAGTATTTTCGTGAACCCCACTCAGTTCGGTCCCAATGAAGATCTGGCGACCTATCCACGCGACGAGAAACAAGATCTCGATCTTCTGGCAGCGGAGGGGGTGGACGCTGTGTTTCTGCCTAGCGAGGAGGAAATGTACGGCGCGGGCCGTGGAACTCATGTCGACGTGCCGGGCCTGTCTGGAATCCTGCAAGGAGCCCTGCGTCCAGGGCACTTTCGTGGAGTCTCGACTGTCGTGACCAAGCTGTTCAATATCGTTGCACCGGACATCGCCGTCTTCGGCGAGAAGGACTACCAGCAACTCACACTTATCCGTCAGATGGTACGTGACCTCGACATGCCGCTGGAAATCGTCGGCCACCCGACCGTGCGCGAAAACGATGGTCTGGCAATGTCTTCCCGGAATGTTCGTCTCTCGGAAGATCAACGGTCTGAAGCCGTCATGCTCAATCGCGCGCTCGATCGGGCACAGGAGTTTGCAAAAACAGGGCCCGCAATTGCCGAACTGGAGGCCGTCGTCAAGTCTCGACTCGCGCAGGCCCCATCCGCGGAGGTCAAAAGCGTCGACATCCGTGATGCTGCGACCCTGGGTGAGCTGCAAGGCGCATTGGATCGTCCGGCTGTCGTGCTGCTGGCGGTACGTTTCGGACCTGTTCTCCTGATTGATCAGCGCGTCATCGCGCCGGTGACCTGAAGCTGAAGGGACTTTTCATGAGTGTTCAAAAACCTGTCCGCCGCCTGACCGCGCCGCAAATCGCGAAACGCAAGGGCGGGGATCCCATCGTCTCGTTGACGTCCTATCATGCGCATACGGCCGCCATCGTCGATAACTACGCCGATTTCATTCTCGTTGGCGACAGCCTTGGGATGGTCATGCACGGAATGGAATCGACGGTCGGTGTCACGCTCGATCTGATGATCATGCACGGCAAGGCGGTCGTCCGCGGCACCAAGAAAGCGCTTGTTGTTGTCGACATGCCCTTTGGCACTTATGAGGAAAGTCCTTCAGAAGCTTTCCGCAACGCAGCACGCGTCATGAAAGAGACCCAATGCGGCGCGGTAAAGCTGGAAGGTGGTGTCCGCATGGCCGAAACCATTCGCTTCCTCACTGAGCGCGGAATTCCCGTGATGGCTCATATCGGCCTGACGCCGCAATCGGTCCACGTCATGGGCGGTTTCAAGACGCAAGGAAGGCACGAGGATGACTGGGACCAGCACTTCGAGGACGCATCAGCTGTTACCGAAGCAGGTGCATTTTCGGTTGTCCTGGAAGGTATGGTTGAACCGCTTGCCGCGCAGATCACCAGGGAAATCCCGATCCCGACCATCGGCATAGGCGCATCCGCAGACTGTGATGGCCAGATCCTGGTGCTGGAGGATATGCTTGGCCTCAATCCGGCACCGCCCAAATTCGTCAAGGTCTACGGCAATCTTGGTGGCCAGATCGAGGCAGCGGTGAAAGCCTATTCGGACGAGGTCAAGGACCGCAAGTTCCCCGCCGAGGATCAGGTGTATCGTTGACGATGTGCAAGCCGTGAATAGACGCCCGATTTCCGGCTGCGGCAATCCGCTGGACAAACTATTGTCAGGTCATGCTGATGATCCGATCCGATTTCGACACGCTGTATGAAGCGCTCCTCAATCGCGACCCGTCCTATGACGGGCGTGTCTATGTCTGTGTGGCCTCTACCGGCATCTTCTGCCGGCTGACTTGCCCGGCACGCAAACCGAAGCGCGAAAACTGCACCTTCTACGAAACTGTTGCCGAATGTATCGACGCCGGCTTCCGCCCGTGCAAGCGGTGCAAGCCGACAACACCGCAAGCAAGCGCGGACCCGGTCGTAAAGCCCCTGATAGAAGCCCTGGAAGGAAAGCCGGGTTATCGTTGGCGCGAGCCGGATATCGTCCGGATGGGATTGGACCCATCCACGGTACGGCGGGCCTTCAAGCGCCATTTCGGCATGACTTTTCTGGAAATGGCTCGACAGCGGCGATTGCAGGAAGGTTTTTCGACATTGGCCGAGGGCGGCAAGGTCATCGATGCGCAGATCACCGCTGGCTTTGAATCGCCAAGCGCCTTTCGCGAGGCGTTTGCCAAAATACTGGGGCAGGCGCCGGGAACATTTTCGCAGGACCCCATGTTGTTTGCCGATTGGGTGCCATCTCCGCTCGGTCCGCTGATTGCAGTGACGGACAGGACGCAACTGCATCTTCTGGAGTTTCTGGACCGCAGGGCCCTGCCGGCGGAATTCAGAAAGCTCCAGGGTTTCGCAAAAGGCAATATCGGCTTCGGGCGCACCGAAATAACCGACCAGATCCAGGACGAATTGCGACTGTTTTTCGACGGCAGTTCCGGCGTCTTTGAAACGAAGCTTGCGCTGCACGGCTCGACATTCACGCGGGATGTCTGGCGGGAACTCCTGAAGATTCCGGCCGGAGGCACAAGGAGTTATTCAGAGCTTGCAAGAGAGCTGGGAAGACCTGAAGCCGTGCGCGCGGTTGCCAGGGCAAACGGTGCGAACCAGATCGCGATTGTAGTGCCGTGCCACAGGGTGCTGGGAGTGGACGGATCGCTGACCGGGTATGGCGGTGGGCTCTGGCGCAAACAGCGTCTCATCGAACTTGAGCGGAGCTACTCCAGCAATCAAAATGCGATTTGATGGTTGGCATTGCCGGCCGGATGCCAACCGGCCGTGATCAGGATTTTCCCGAAACACCTGTTATCATGGAGACGATCTCGTTCTTGTCGGTCTTGGCAGTCTCGCGCACGCCGATCTGTTGTCCACGCCTCAAGACGCAAATCCGGTCGGCAAGACGGAAGACCTGGTCGAGGCTGTGGCTGATGATCAAAATCGCGAGGTTCTTTTCCTTCAGCGCGGCTACCTGTTCCTCCACCTTTGCCGTTTCCGCGACACCAAGGGCTGCGGTCGGCTCGTCCAGCAGCACCAGCTTGCTTGCCCAGTGCGTGGCGCGCGCAATTGCTATTCCCTGTCGCTGACCGCCGCTGAGATCCCGGATGACGGACCCTGCGGACGGAATACGCACGTCCAGCTCATCGACCAGTTGCTGGCATTCCCTGTGCATGCGTTTCCTGTCGAGCAGACCGAAGGGCGGCTTGATCAGTTCCCGGCCGAGGAACATGTTCATGTAGACTGGCTGCTGGTCCGCAAGGGCAAGATCCTGATAGACCACCTCGATCCCCAAGCTGCGTGCGGAACTGGCGTCTGAAAAGGAGACGGGATCGCCGTCCAGGCGGATCTCGCCGGATGTGGGGCGGTGCACCCCGGAAACAATCTTGACCAGCGTCGACTTGCCGGCACCGTTATCACCGACAAGCGCGACGATTTCGCCCGCATGTAGATCGAGCGAAAAATCCTCTATCGCGACAATGCCGCCGAAAGCCTTGTGAATGTTGGCGAGCGAAAGGACGGGGGCTTGTAGGTTCACTGACGAAACGCTCCCGGCCAGGAGACCTGATCCCCAAATCCGTTTTCTATTGTCGTAACGGCGGGGTTGCCCGATGCGACACCTGAGAGGCCGACCACAAGCGCTCGCGTGACGAAGGCCTGGCCGCGAAAACCGAATATGACCGTGTCACCTGGCTCCGGTGGTCTCGGGCCGGTGGCGTCGATCATCGCATAGTAGTCGATGGCGGAATAATCGGGGATCTCGACATCGCGTAGCGCAGACCGGTCCGATGTCGGTTCCGGACCGACGATCGCCCGCACCTGATAGTCCGGAAAAACAGGATCAATATAAAGACCGCCACCAAAGCAATAGGATTTGCCGCCATGATGATGGGAGACTTCGGAAAGGTAGAGAACAGCGGGATCCTCCGGCAGGTCCTCGACCGCATGCAGAGGCGTTGTGCCGTGGAGCCCGTTGCCCGGTTCGCACTGGGTCGCACCCGATGCCGCCAGTGCCGCGACCACGGCAGAGGAGGTCGTGCCGGGTGCATTGATCTCGATACCGGTCCTGCCGGCCTTCGCCAGGGCATCCGCTGCCCGGCCGAGGGTTGCCAGGTTCGGTGTCTGTTTTACCTTGCGGGCCTCAAGATCGAACAGCAGCGCTGGAAAGGTCGTGATGCCCGCGAAGCGAGCGCCCTCCATATTATCAAGCCGCTCTGCTATCGCGACAATGTCTTCAGCCGCAAACCCGCCCTCATGGCCACGGTAAAACGTATCGCCTTCGGTCTGAATTCGCGCCAGCAGATTTTGTTCGCGGCCCGCCGAGCGTGCTGCCGATGCAGCTTCCTCGGCTTTTGTGTCTGAAAAGACGGTCCAGTAGTCCGGTTGCAGTTTGGTACCGGCATAGGCCGCTTCATGTCGGGGGATCTGCACCAGGTGTCCCAGATGGCCTGTTTTGAGACCGGCCCGGTCGCAGGCAAGCGCGCAGGCCATGTCGACGGCAACAGCCCGGTTGATGCCGCCGCGCATGACCGCCTGGCAAAAGCCGGAATGCCGTCCGACCTGCTTGGTCATCGCGAAGGTCTTCAGGCCATGTCTTTGCGCCTCATGTTGGAAAAGGCGTGCGTTGCGTTCGACCGCATCAAGGTCGAGTACATAGGCATTTGCCGGAATGCGTCCTGCCTGATGAAGTTCCATCGCGGCTTCGATGAATGCCGGATTACGGCGGATTAAAACGTCAAGAAACATCTGTCTTCTCCGAGTTACCGGCTCGTGTCGCGCAGCGAAACGGCGACCGCGATCAGGATGATCAGCCCGCGGACGATCATCTGGTCGGAAACATCAAGACCCATGAGGATCAGTCCGTTGTTGAGCATTCCCATCAGAAGCGAGCCGAGCAAAGCGCCGATGATCGATCCCTTGCCGCCGTTCAGGGCCGTACCGCCGACAATGACAGCGGCAATTACGGTCATCAGGTCGCTCTCGCCGAGTGTGTATTTTGCGGCCTGGAGGCGACCGGCATAGAGTAGCCCCGCCAGCCCGGCCATGGTGCCGCACAGCGTCAATACACCCAGGCGGATCCGGGGCACCTTGATCCCGGAGACCTGCGCGGCCCGGGCATTGTCGCCCGTTGCGAGCACATGAGCACCGAACCGCGTGCTGCGATAGACGATGTGTCCGATCGCGACCGCAACGATGGTCCAGAGGACGAGCGAGGGTATGGAAAACAGTTTCCCGGATCCGAAGATGCCGGTGAATGTGTCGTTAAGTACAGGAATGGACCGCAGATCCGTCATTGAGCGTGCAATGCCGGCAAACAGGCCCATCGTGGCCAGTGTGACCAGAAACGAAGGCAGGCGAAGATAGGCAACCAGAATGCCGTTCATCGCTCCAATCAGCGCGCCTGCGCCTAGCCCGGCCAGGATGCCGACGGCCATCGGGAAGCTCTGCATGGCAACTGCGGCGGACAGCGCCGAGACAGCCACGACCGATCCGAAACTCAGATCGATCTCGCCTGCGGACAGGGCAAATACCAGACCGATGGCCATGATCGTGGCGGGTGCGGTCTGCAGCACGATGTTGGTCAGATTGCGCGAGGTCAGAAAGCCATCGTCATAGAGCGTAGCCGCAAAGAACAGGAAGATGGCCAGAAAGCCCACATAGATTACGGATCTCTGCAGATCCAGTCGCCGCAGCAGCGAAAGGGAGGAGCTCATCGCAGTCTCGTTTTGCCGGTTTTCCGAGGATCGAAGGTCGACATCTTTGGTTCTTGCCCGAGTGATTGAAAGCGAAGGATGATCGAATGAACCGGCGGGCAGCAGGCTGCCCGCCGCTTGGCCGGGTTAATTCGCGGAGGAAACGCTTGCCGGCGGATCGATGTTCAATGATTTCTTCCAGCCTTCGGCAACCGTGTCTGCGGTAACCGTTATGGCCGGTGCGACGACGAAGGGCGGTACATCCGTGCCGACAAGACGCAGGGCAGCGGCGGCGGCCATGGCGCGCCCGAGTTCGTAAGCCTCGTCTGCGACGATTGCAGCGACGTTACCACCGCGAACCATATCGACGGCAACCGGCTCGGACAGGTCGAGTGTCACGATCTTCGTGCTCTTGTTGCCGTTCGCCCGCAAGGCCGCCAGCACGCCTTCTGCCGGTCCTGCCCAGGTTACGTAGATGCCACCAAGATCCGGGTTCTTCAGAAGCATCGCATTGGCGATTTCCTCGGCACGGGCCGGGTCGCTGATACCCTGTTCGGCGACGATTGAAATGTCCGGATAGTCGTTTTCGATCGTTGTCTTGAAGGCGTTGTCCCGCTGATTGGTCACGTAGTAGTCGGCATCGTGGTAGATCCAGCCGACGGTTCCCTTGCCGTTCATTGATGACGCAAGGGCGTCGGCCGCCTGCTTGCCCATCTGGAAGAGGTCGTCGGTGACGATGGCTGCGTAATCCCGTGGATGTTCGTACCCGGAGGGCAGGTTGGACAGAAAGACAAGCGAAACACCACTGTCGCGCGCTTCCTTGAATGCCGCTGCGGATGTAACCGGATCAAGTGGCAGAGACAGGATGATGTTCGGTTCCTTTGCGAGCGAAGTTTCGATGTCACTGCGTTGCTTCGCAGCATCGAAACCTGCACTGGCAGTCGCCACGACCTCAATTCCGAGGCGTTTAAACTCGTCACTTGCACCTGCGGTGACGGCGTTCACGAAATCCGACTGGTCGTGCCACAGGAGCGCGGCCTTGTAGTTGCCGGACCGAATGGCGTCCACTTTGTCATCCGCGACGACGACAGCGGAGGAGGGAGTTGCGTTTTCGTTGTTCGGTCCAATGGTTTCAGCCAGGGAAAAACTGGACAGGGAGGCGAAGCTCAGCAGCCCGAGAAGGGCGGATGAAGCCAGATTTTTTGCAGTCAGTCTCATTGGTAACCCTCTGGTATTGGTGTTTATCGTGCTTCTTCCAGGCCGCAATAGTCGGCCACGAACAGCGCGAAAGCCCTGACGGCTGCCAGATAGCTCTCCACGTCGATGCGCTCTTCGAATGTATGCGCCAGGCTGATATCGCCCGGTGCGCAATAAACGGCCGGGCATCCGATCTCGTTGACAAGAAACGGCATTTCCGACCAGTAGGGTGCTCCCCCGATGGCTCCACCGTGATCAGTCGTCCGGCGAATGCTGTCTGAAAGACGGACCGCGGTCGGATCATCTTGCGGGATCTCGACAGGCGATCCGCCATATCTGTGATCCCGGCCGGCGGGATATTGAATATCAATCGTGATGCCGTCCGCGACCGGAGCGGATCGGACAACGGTCTCAAATGCACTGACGGCAACATCGAGGTTTTCACCGGGTCGGAGTTTCCGGATCAGGGAAAATCGGCACGACCCGGGAACAGCGATGTAGCCGCCACCTTGTATGTCCGTTACGAGAATGGACGAGGCACCCAGAAGATCATGTTTCGGACCGGCCGCCAGGTCGTCTTCGTGTGCCCAAAGACATTCCAGAACCGAATGGGTTGCCTTCAAGGCGTCGGTCCCGAGTTCTGGTGTTCCAAAATAGGCCGACTTGCCGGTAACTGTGACGTCGGCAATGAAAAATCCGATCTGTGCCGTGCAGACATCGAGCTTTGTCGGTTCGAGGTAGACTGCAAAATCAGGCCGGCCGATGTCACCCGAAGTGACACGCTTCACGAGGTCGTGGGCGCCGGCAGAGACCCCGGTGCCCGGCTCGCCGCTTTCTTCATCGCCAATGAATGCAAATGACAGACCGCCTGCCGGTCGAAAACCCGCGCGTTGCAACAGCCTGACCGCGCCCAGTGCAGAACAAATACCGCCCTTCAGGTCGCAGGCACCGCGACCCCAGATTTCGCCGTCGATCAACGCGCCGGAAAAAGGATCCTGCTGGGGCTTGCCTTGCCAGTTTTCTTCCCAGCCGCGTACATGAACCGTGTCCGTGTGCCCCACGAACATCAGTTTAGGGTCCTCATCGCCATTCTTCCCGGTACAGCCCCAGACATTCATACGGCCGGGCAGAAACTCTCCGGATCCGGTTTCAAGTCCGAGTGTTTCCAGCTGTGATTTCAGGAAGAGTGCAAAGGCGCTTTCGTTTCCGGTAACGCTCTCAACGGCGATGGCCTGCTGAAGCAGTTGCAGGTCTGCGTCCCGGTCCTGATGGGCCTCAAGGCTGGAAAGGAGATCCCGGGCCATCACGCGACACCTTTCTTGAAGGTTTCGACGGAGGGTGGCGGAACTGAAATTTCAACACCCTTCAAGCCTTCGGCGAACAGTGACAAGTGCAATCGGGAAAGGGCAACCGATGCGCCGCCTGCAAGCGCCGCATGGTTTCCAAGCGTTGATTTTTCGATCAGCACAGGGCGTGGAAAACACGTCGACAAGTATTTTTTAACGCGGTTGAAAAGCTCTTCCCGCGCTCCGATGGAGCCACCTATCACGATGCACGAGGGATCCATCACGGCAGTGAGGGCGGCTGTTACGCGAGCGATCTGTCTCGATGTCTGGTCCAACGTCTCCTGTGCGTCCGCGTCTTCCTGGTTGGCGGCCTCGAATATTTCCGGAACACTCCGGGTTCTGCCACTTTTCTTCTGATACATCTCGGTGATGGCATGGGTTGCCGCGACGCGTTCAAGCGCACCGGTTTTCAGGCTTTCCGGTTCAAACGGATCAGCTCCGAAGGGCAGATAGCCAATTTCTCCCGCGGCACCGCTGGCACCTCTGTGAAGCTGCCCGCCGACTACGATCCCCGCGCCGATCCCGGTGCCAATGGAGACATAGACAAGATCATCCTTCTCGCCGCGTTTTGTAAGCCAGTGTTCTCCAAGCGCCGCCAGGTTCACGTCGTTTTCGACGAAAACCTCGATACCGAGTTGGCGCCGCCAGAGGCCTGGCGCATCGATACAGTCGAGACCTGGGATATTGGGAGCCATCCTGATCTGTCCTGTTCCGGGATCAGGGACACCCGGCACACCGATAACGGCAACACGCGGCAGTTTCGAGTTGAGCTTCGCCCCGCCGGCCGCTCTTTGAACCAGATCGGTGACATGCCTGATAACGGCCTCGCCACCGGACTTGTCAGTCGGTTCCTCCAGTTCGTTGACTACGGCGCCGGTCAGGTTGCAGATCGCGACACGGATCTTCGTGCCGCCAAGGTCCACACTCGCGACCGAGGCGGCGTCCGGTACGATTTCGTAAACGACGGCCCGGCGCCCGATATGACCTTCCGTCTGACCGACGGTTCTGACCCAGCCTTCAACTTCAAGGTTGCCGACGATTTCCGAGACCGTCTGCTTGGAAAGGCCCGTGATTTTCGAAACGCTTGCCCGGGAGATGGGGCCGAAGCTCGCGATTGCCTGAACCACCGCGCTCAGGGACATTCGCCTGGATATATTGGAAGGATCGGCCACTGGTTCTCTCAATTAGTTCGTTCACTAACCGAACTAAATAGAAAACTGGCCACTTGTCAAGTCGTAGTCACCGGTTTTGCCAGCACCAGAAGCGTGCCATGGCGGCGAGAGAACCGTAATCTGCCGGTTCGAGGACAGGTCTGGGTTGTGGTAGGGTACCCGTGCCTAAATCCGTTTATCTGAATGCGGGCGTCTGAATATGGCGCTCAAGCGGGGCTGTCACGTTTCGCGCTGTTTTCGATCTGGATCTTCGGTATTTTGAATTGGGATTTTGGGGGGAATATGGACATTCACGCTGCCGTCAGGGAATTGGGACCCGGCGATGTGCTGGCTCTCGAAGCCGCGTGTTTTACCGACCCGGTTGTAATAAATGGCATCAGCGGCACGCGTGAAAGACCCGTTTGCATCCGCGGAGAAAAGCCGGTTGCCCCGGATGTGAACAAGATGGCGGCGAAACGATCGCCGACTGTTTTCGGCACCAGGGAAACTTTCGAGGAATTCAATGTTCAAGCCAACAGACTGGCGCGGGCGCATGAAGCGGCTGGAAATTATCCCGGCCTCTACTTCATGGCCGACAACGCCCATCTTGTCCTGCGTGACTGTCAGTGGATCGTGTTGGAAGACCTCACATTCGAAAACTGCTGGCCAACTGCGATCTATATCGAGAATTGTCAGCACATAACGATCAGGGGCGTCCATTTCCGTGGTGGAACCTTTGCCATCGGGGCAACGGGAGCCGACACGCGACACCTCCTGATTGAAAACTGCGACTGGATCCAGGACCTTGGTTGTCATGGAGACATCAGGTCCGGTCCATCAGGGACAACGGATACCTGCGGGATGAAAGGGAGGTCGACGGTTGCCATCTCTGGCGAAAAACGCATTTCAACCAGATTCATTCCGATGTCAGTGCAACGGGCGAATTCGTCCAACCGGACGATTCACGCGCCTATGACGGTGACTTTTTCCGGGCATGGACCATTGCCGGATATGTCATCCTGCGCAACAACTGCATCGTGGACGCTTTTAACGGCATCCATTTATTCAATCAGGCGTCGAAGGATACGCGGCATCGTCATTCAAGGAATGTGATGATCAGCGACAACTGGTTTGTCCGCATTCGCGACAATGCGGTCGAACCTGAGAACTATGCCTTCAACTGGACAGTCAGACACAACAAGTTCGTCGATTGCTACGCGCCCTTCTCCCTCGAACCGGAGCAATCCGGATTTTTCTACATCTATGGAAATCTCGGCTGGAGCCGTGAGCGGCCGGGGCCCGACCCGGAGGATCCGTCGACAGGCCGCCTCTTCAAATTCGGAACGAACCACGAAGCGGTCGGTCCGCATTATGTCGTGCATAACTCCTGGTTCGTGCGCAATCCGATATTCAAGAAAAAGCGGATACGAAATTTCCACCACCTCAACAATGTCATTGGATACAACGAGGACGCGCTGTCGATTTCACTCAACCAGGTCAATCCATTTGGCAAGGACTGGCAGGCACGGCATGACCCGTCTTCGGATTGGGAAACCATCAAATCCATTGAGAAAAGAAGATTCACCAAGGCCTGGACGGAACTGGACATTACAGTTGACAATGACATGGTCGGACATCCGGCATTTCCGCTTGAACTCCAGTCCGCCGGGTACCCGCTTGGCCCCAGATCTTCCGGCGAGGTTCCGAGGTTCTCAAAGGCGCTTCATGGTCGCCCGGAAGGATTGAAACTGGACAATGCAATGAATGCTGCCAGGGTGACGTTACAACTGCCAGATGGTGACAAGGTGAAAACATTCCCAGACGAATTGCCTCCGCTGGATGTCGGTGCATGGCAGGGCAATGAACTTTTCCGGCTGCCCGAACCGCTGTTTGTGCGGGATTGGGAATACCCGTTACGGCCAGAAATGTCCTGAAGGCATACCGCCAGGAGGGCTGCCGCTCTGCCCCTGTCTGGCTCATTTGAACTCTCCGATGCGGACGAGGAGGAACGACTGTGGTTGTTGGAGTGATCGGTCTCGGAATCATGGGGAGCGCATACGCTCGCAATCTTATTCGATCCGGTGAAACCGTGTTGGGTGTCGACCCGTCTGTAACTGCGCGAGCCAAGCTGGCGGAGGAGGGAGGTTCGGTATTCGAAACGGTCGATGACTGGGTTTCTGATTGTGACGCAATCGTTCTTTCGCTGGCCGCACCGCATGTGCTCGCTTCGGTCTGCGAGAAGTTGGCAACCGGACTCCGGCCAGGGCAGGTCGTTGTCGAGACCGGAACATTTTCCCTGGCGGACAAGGAGGAGGCCAGATCGCTCCTGGAAAAATCCGGCGCGGTCCTGTTGGACTGTCCCGTCAGCGGAACGGGTGCCCAGGCTGCTGAAGCCGATCTCGTGATGATGGCGTCCGGGCCAGAAGAGGCGGTCGCGGAAATCCGACCCCTTCTGGAAAAATTCACGCGCATGGTGATGTATGTCGGTGACTTCGGAAACGGAACGAAACTGAAATTCGTCGCAAATCATGCCGTAGCAATTCACAATGTCGCAGCGGCCGAAACGCTGAACTATGCCGATGCACTCGGTCTGGAGCGCGACACGGTCTATCGATTGCTGTCGTCTGGTGCGGGGCAGTCTCGCATGTCAGACCTGCGCATGCCCTTGATGATCAACGGCGCTTACGATCCGCCTTCCGCCAGTCTGAAAATGTTTGAAAAGGATCTGCGGATTATTGGTGAAGATATTGAAGATAAGGGTGTTTTTGCCCCTTTGTTCGAAGCTGGCAGGTCCGTCTATGACACGACTGTCGACGAATTGCCCAATCAGTTCGATACGGCTTCGGTTTTTGAAACGTACAAATCGAAGTCTGAAAGATAGGACCTCCGTCGGCATGGCGCGATGGTCTTTCCGTCTGGGAAATGGGGTGCGATCTTCCAGCGTCCTGTCTGTTGGACACTTGGGGAAAGCTTCAATCAAGGTCTGAACACGCTTGATTCGTGTCGGATCACGTCTGAATTGCCGTCGAAGCTGCCCGCTGGGTGAATGTGAAGCAGATTAGATATGCAGAAATGTTAGTGCGATTTCATGTTTGGGTCATTGAAATATTAATCTCTGTCGCTTAAGTGTCGCCTCAAATGGAAACACCATCATCCCGGACATTGCCCGGGCGACAGGAGGTCGACATGACCCGTGATGAACTTATTCGTGAGTACAAAGAGCAGAGCGGATCCTGGCAGGGTCTGGTCGGCGTATACGCCGTAATCGTCGGCGTAATGGCTCTGTCCGGCTATCTGATGGTCGGCTAGGCAAGCGCCTGCCTGTTCAATGAAGATATTGAAAAACCCCGGGACCCTGGTCCCGGGGTTTTTCATTTTGTGGTCCTAGACATTCGCGGCTTCGCCGATGGAGTCGGTTCCCCTCTCCTCCAGCAAGGTCGTCAGCCAGTTCGGGTCCATTTCGGGCACCGAAGACAGCAGAAGATCCGTATAGGGATGGTGTGGCGGGGTGAACATTTCGTCCTTTGCCCCCTGCTCAACCACCTTGCCCCTTTGCATCACGACCACTTCGTCGGCAATCGAGCGCACGGTCGCCAGATCGTGGGTGATGAACATGTAGGCCAGATTGAAGTCTTCCTGCAATTTGTCGAGAAGCTTCAGGATGCCTTCCGCAACAAGCTGGTCGAGCGCGCTTGTCACTTCGTCGCAAATGATGAAGGACGGGTCCGCCGCCAGCGCGCGCGCAATTCCCACACGCTGCTTTTGACCGCCGGAAAGCTCTGGCGGGTAGCGGTTGTAGAACTTCGCCGGATCCAGCTCGATCAGGTCCAGAAGTTCGTCGACACGGTTCTTCAACTCCGCTCCGCGCACGCCACGATAAAATTGCGCCGGGCGTCCGATAATCTCGCTGATCTTGATCTTTGGATTCAGCGCGGTGTCCGCCATCTGGTAGATCATCTGCGCTTGGCGCAATTGATCCTTTGTGCGGTCCTGATAGCGGGGCGGCAAGGATTCACCATTGAACTGGATCTCGCCTTTCGTCGGTGGCAGCAGGCCAGTAATACACCGTGCGGTCGTCGACTTCCCGGATCCGGATTCGCCCACGACCGCGACTGTCATGCCCGGGTAGATGTCGAAAGAGACATCATCAAGCACCTTGATCTTGCCGTAGGCTGCATCCACGTTCTTGACAGAGACAATAGGTATTGACCCGGCCTCCGTCGGGCGTTCCTTCTGGGGACGTTTGAAACTGCGCACCGCCCAAAGGCTCTTGGTATAGTCTTCGCTCGGCGCATCCAGCATCTGCTCCGTAGGCGCTTCTTCGACTTCCTCGCCTTTCAGCAAGACCTTGATCGTATCTGCCATCTGCGCAACGACCGCGAGGTCGTGCGTGATATAGATCGCGGCCGTATTGAACTGGTCGACAATGTCCCTGATCGCGGCAAGAACCTCGATCTGGGTCGTCACGTCCAGCGCCGTTGTCGGCTCGTCGAAGATGATCAGGTCGGGACGGCATGCCATTGCCATGGCGGTCATGGCGCGCTGCAGCTGTCCACCTGAAACCTGGTGCGGATACCGGAAGCCGATTTCATCCGGATTGGGAAGCCGGAGGCGGTGGTAAAGCTCCATTGCATCCTCTTGCGCTTCCACGCGCTTTTGGATGCGGTACTGGATCGGGGCTTCGGTGTGCTGATCGATGATCCGGTGGGCCGGATTGAAGGACGCGGCAGCAGACTGCGCCACATAGGCAATCCTTGACCCGCGCAGCGCACGCAAATCTCCTTCCGGTGTCGTGGTCAGTTCCATGCCGTCAAACTCGATGGAACCACCGGAAATCCGGCAACCGTCCCTGGCAAATCCCATCGCGGCGAGCCCGATGGTGGATTTGCCCGCACCCGACTCTCCGATCAGTCCGAGAACCTCGCCTTTGTGGAGAGTGAGATCGACACCATGAACGATCTCGATCCACTGCTCATCCGAATAGCCTTCGATCCGAAGGTCCTTGACTTCAAGAAGCACATCTTTTTTAGGGACCATGCTCAAACCTCCTTAAGGCCGGAGGACCGGAAAAGCATCCAGTCAACGACGAAGTTAACCGAAACCGTCAGCAACGCGATAGCAGCTGCCGGAATGAGGGGTGTCAGTTCACCAAACGAAATCAGCGTGGCGTTTTCGCGCACCATGGAGCCCCAGTCGGCGGTCGGCGGCTGGATACCGAGACCAAGGAACGAGAGACCCGCGATCAGAAGGAACACGAAACAGAATTCCAGGCCGAATTCAGCGACCAGTGGAGCGGTCGAATTCGGCAGGATTTCCCTTCGGATCAGGTACCAGTTGCCTTCCCCGCGCAGTTTTGCAGCCTCGATGTAATCCATCACGACGACATTGCCCGCAACGGCTCGCGTCAGACGGAAAACGCGCGGGGAATAGATCAAGGCGACGATGATGACAATCACGAACAGGCTTGTGCCGAAGATACTCAGCATCAGCAGCGCGAAGATCAGCGAGGGAACCGACATGATCACGTCGGCGACCCGGCCCATCAACTGGTCGAACCAACCCCCCTTGGTCGCTGCCAGCAGACCTGTCAGCGCTCCGAGGATGAAGGCAAGACTGGTTGCCACCAGGGCAAGACCGACGGTGTTGCGCGCACCGTAGATCAACCGGCTGAACATGTCGCGCCCGAGCTGGTCTGCTCCGAGCAGCATGTTTTCATCCGCCGGCGCGAAGGCGGAGGAAATGACCTCTGCTTCGCCAAAAGGGGCAATGATAGGCGCGAAGATCCCTGCAATGGCGTAGGTGAAGATCACGAACATGCCGAACGCGGCGGTCAGGGGAGCCGTGCGAAGTTCCTTTGCAACACCGTCCGACGCGATGATGATCAGAAACTCACGGAAAGCGTACGACACCCCGGCCGCCAGTGCCAGGAGGCCGGCCGCGACTGTGATGAAACGCAAGGCACCGACACCACCAACGATCCCGGTGACGAAGGAAATGAGTGTGAGGGAAAAGATCAACAGGAACAGTTGTCTTTTCTTGAAATAGGCTGCGAGACAGGAGGCCCCAATCAGCAGCGCATAGTATCCGATGACGAATGTGTTCATATCGCTGCCCTCACTTCGGATGCCGCAAACGCGGATTGGTCAAGATTGATCCGACATCTGCTGCCAGGTTGAGCAGGATGAAGGTCGCAGCGAAGATGAGGCAACATGCCTGGACTATCGGGAAGTCGCGTTTGGAAACAGCGTCGACGAGGAGCTGGCCGACACCCGGATAGACGAAGACAACTTCCACCAGAACCACACCGGTAATCAGGTAGGCAAGGTTCAGCGCTACCACATTGATGATCGGTGCCCAGGCGTTGGGAAGCGCGTGTTTGACGATCACCTTCCAGGGCGGCACGCCTTTGAGCCGGGCCATTTCGATATACGGCGACGCAAGGAGGTTGATGATTGCGGCCCGGGTCATACGCATCATGTGCGCGGTTACGACCAGAACCAGCGTCAACGCCGGAAGGAATGTCCTGTGAAGCAATTCGCCGAAACTCATGTCTGTACTGAGACTGGCGATGGCAGGGAAATAGTTGGTCTTCACGGCCAGGTACAGGATCAGGATGTAGCCGAGGAAAAATTCCGGAGAGCTGATGGACGTGAGGGTCACGACATTGGCGACACGGTCGAACAGCGTGTTGCGCAGCAAAGCCACGATGACGCCCAGTATGATCGAGATCGGTACAGCTATGACTGCCGCATATGTCGCAAGGAAAAGCGTGTTGATAAAGCGGCCACTGATCGCTTCACTGACGCGTTCGCCTGATATGAGCGAAACACCGAAATCACCGGTGAGGGCACCTCCGAGCCATTGGAAATATCGCAAGATCGCGGGCTGATCGAGGCCCATCTTTTCGCGTAATGCAGCCACGGTTTCTGGTGTTGCTGCTTGGCCCAAAACGGCCTGGGCGATATCGCCCGGCAGCAGCTCAACCGCGAAAAAAATCAGGATTGAGATCACCAGAAGAGTGACCACACCTAAGCCAAGTCTCTTTAGGACCAGCTGTAGGATGTCCCCCATTTGTCCCTCCAGAATAAAGACGTCCGGTACCCCAATTGACCGGATTCGTGTCGGGTGCGGATCTCGAACAGATCCTGAATTTGTCTTTTTAAAATACCCGACAGTCTAGTGCGGAACCGCCCTCAAATGGGCGGCCCCATGTTGAAAGCGGCGAGCCAGGCCCGCCGCGATCTCAGATATCAGCCTTCGAACCACCAGCGGTGTGTTCCCCGTGCGCCGTCCGTCTCCCAGGACGAGGCAACACTCGGGCCGTGCTTGACGTTCTTGCGGCGAGCGTAGACGAAGTTGACGAACATCGGGATGATTGTGCCGCCGTCGTCACGCGCGAGCGTGCACATTTCGTGATACATCTCGCCCCGCCTTGTTTCGTCGAGCTCCGCCTTGGCCTGAAGCAGCAGTTCGTTGAAGCGCGCATTCTTCCAGTGCGCTTCGTTCCAGGCAGCGTCGTCCTTGTAGGCGAGCGTGAACATGTTGTCCGGTGTCGGGCGCGCACCCCACTTGACGAACACCCAGGGCTTCTTGAGCCAGACATCCGACCAGTAGCCGTCGTTTGCCTCACGAACCGGCTTGATGTCGATGCCGGCCTTTTTCGCCTGCTCGGAGTAGAGCACGATCATGTCCACTGCGCCCGGCAGCACGCTGTCCGCAGCGGACAGGCTGACCGAAAGATTGTCCACACCAGCCTGCTTCAGGTGCCATTTGGCCTTTTCAGGATCGTATGTGCGCTGTGGAATATCTGCCGGGAAGTAAGGCATGTTCGGCGAGACGTGGAAATCGTTGCCCGGGGTGCCGGTGCCGAAAACGATCTTCTCGACGATTTCCTCGCGGTCGATCGCCAGTTTCAGCGCCATGCGTACGTCGACATTGTCGAACGGTGCAACATCGCAGAACATTGGCAGTGTGATTGCCGATCCCGAAGGAATGTTGTCGAGTTCAACATCCGGATGACGCTGTAACAGCGCCATGGTCTTCAGGTCCACGGATGAAATCGCATCCACATCACCGGTTACAAGTGCGGTCTGGCGGGCGTTCGGATCGTTCAGGACCGTCATGTCAATCCGGTCGAACCACGCTCCCTCGCGGTGCCAGCCGTCGTGACGGACAAGGGTCGTGCCAATGCCGAATTCGTTCTGCTCGATCTTGTAGGGGCCGGCGCCGACACCGCTTTCCCAGTCCACCGAACCATCATCCTTTGCCGGCAGCATGACGAGATGGTAGTCGGTCATGATCCACGGCAGATCGGCAAAGCCCTGGTCGAGCTCGATCACGATGTGCTTGTCACCATCTACCTTGATGTCGACGACACTATCGAGGAGAGCCTTGGCGGCCGATGTCGATTTCTCGCCGCGGTGGTGATTCAACGAAGCAACGGCGTCATTCGCGGTAAACTTACGCCCATCGTGGAATACGGCATCGGTATTGAGCTCGAACGTCCAGACTTTGGCATCCGGGCTTGCTTCCCAACCGGTCGCCATATCGGGACCAAGGCCGTTTTCTTCCGTAATTTCGGTTAGATAGCTGCGATGCGTGTGCGCCAGCTGAATGGAATAGACACTCTGATAGGTGCCTGGATCGTGGTTATCGCTCGTGTTGCCGTCGTGTACGCCGTAGCGGAACGTTCCACCACGCTTGGGTTGTGCCTTGGCTTGCGAAGTCCAAAGTCCGGTTGCAGTGGAGGCCGTCACGCCCGCGAGCATGGAGTATTGCAGGAACTCACGTTTTGAGATGCCGCCGGTACGGGCCGCTTTCTCAAGATTGTTCAGTAACTCCGGGTTTTTGGATTTTGTCATACTTACTCCCCTTATGGATTTTTTTTCAGGCACAAGGCCTGCGAGTTTCCCAAATGTAGCTTCAGCATTTTTCCGGTATTTGCAAAGCTCATATGCGACATATAATCAGCAAAACACGAACACTGCCGATTCCGCTACCCTTTGGATGAAATTATTCCTTTCATTTTTTCGATCTTGATTAAATCCAATTTTTCCGCATTGCGGCACAGGATTTGACCAGTTGCTTCAATTTTGGGCAGTGGCGCACATTCTGGGTGCATGTTGAGCTGCTAATATTATTGAATACTTTAGTATCATCTTGCAACGACCCTGAAATTAACATTATTTAACTTTTAGCATCATTATCTTCCAAGTTTTCAGCCGCTTCCCGTCAATTGTGGCAAGAAAATTGTTGCGATTCACACGGGAGTGTTGTGAGCGTTGAATCAGAAACGGCACCGTTCGCAAGGGGATTTTGAGCATGTCGACAAGCATTTCTCATCCTTCATGAAACTATTCCGGAAGATATTTCTCCGACCATTGGTCTGCGGCGGAGCCATTGGCAATCATTGTGTCGATATCGCGAACACCGAAGCATGGTTCCGAGAGGATGTCCCTGGTATGCGCCCCGTATTTGGGCGCGTGTCCTAAACCAACAACCCGTGCCTGTTCGGGACGCAACGCATTGGGCGCAGCAAGGTCAACCAATCGCCCTGTGAGGTGTGCGTCATGGCGGACCGCGCCGAAGGTGTGGGCGGATCTCGGCGTCCGCCTCGCTCTCCTTCTTGAGCGTCGCCTTCCCTGCACGATAAGCCTCCGACTTGTTCTCCTGGGGCTACAGCTTATGTATGCAAGCGGATAATGTTGTGCCGATTCTGCCAAAAACCTGTCCCGATCTGCCAATGCCTGACTTCAATGTGACAATTCTGCTCTCCGGGTCCTTCTCGAACATGGTACTGGCCTGCCTGCTGGAGCCTCTTCGGGTCGTGCGGGACTGCACCGGAGCGGAGATCTGCTGGAAGATCGCGACGGAGGCAGACACCGAAGTCAGCAGTTCGAGCGGGATCAAGGTCTCTCCGGACATTCGCCTCGCAGACGCCGGGCCCGCCGATCTCGTGTTTCTGATCTCCGGAGACGAGTTCCGTGAGGGCGATGCGTCAACAGCGCTTCGCCGTTACCTTTCTTCACTCACTCGGGACTGCACGATCATCGCCGCGGACACAGGCGCCTGGAAACTTGCAATGTTGGGCCACCTCGACGGACGTTCGGCAACTCTTCACTGGCAGTTGCTCGACGAATTCGCCGAGACCTTTCCCAAGGTGCGTGTCCTGTCTGACCGTTTCGTCAAGGATGGCCGCTTCTGGACATGTGGCAGCGCGTCTGCCGCACTCGACCTGATCCTCAACTATATCGGTGACCGGTTTGGTCAGGCTGCTGCCTTCGATGCAGGGGCGATGTTCCTTCACGACAACGCACGCCGGTCATGCGCTTCCGGTTTCGATCTGACGCTGGCATCGAGCGCACCGCACCAGCTGAAGCGGATAATCCGGGTGATGTCCGAAGCGTTGGAGCAGACGATGACGATCGCCGACATTGCCCGTGCTGTGAACATGTCCGAGCGATCGCTTCATCGCCTCGTTGTCGAGAAACTGCAGATGCCTCCCGGGAAATACTACCTTCTCATGCGCCTTGACCGGGCAAGGCAGCTTGTCCTCTTTAGCGATCTGTCCCTGAACGATATTGCACTGCGCTGCGGTTTTGCCGGTGCCTCGACCCTGATCCGAAGCTTCAAGGCACATCGCGGGGTGGATCTGAGGAGCTTGCGCAATCGAGGATGATGCGTTTTCGGCCCGGAGGAGTTCCTGTTGATCGCCGAATAGTGCGGCAATGTCGGAAAATGCGCCCCGTGTTCGGTTTCGGACAGGAAAATGCGGCTCCGAACGAGCAGGCTGAAGTCAAAGCAGACCAGAATTCGGAGACATTCATGAGTGTTGCAGCTCGCAGCCGTAGCGGTGGCCGGGCAGGCCGCAGGGCCCTTCGGACCGCTCCCGACCACGACATGCTACCCGGACTTGCCCGGAACCTCCCGCTGTGCGAACCACTCGATGAAGATCAGATCCGGAAACTCGACGACGCGTCGATGTCGATCTTGGAGGATGTCGGCATCATCTTTCGTGATCCGATCGCTCTGGACGATTGGAAGAAGGCCTGCGCCAGGGTCGATGGAGAGAGGGTTTATCTTGACCGCGAGCATGTACGCGAACTGATCAGGACCATTCCCTCCAGTTTCACCTATCACGCCCGCAACCCGAAGAAGAACGTTCCCGTAGGTGGCAATCGAACGATCTTCGTTCCGATGACCGGTGCACCCTTCCTGCGTGACCTGGACGGCGTCCGGCGCAATCCGATGCTGGATGACCTGGCCATGTTTCACAAGCTGAGTCACATGCTTCCGGCGATCCACTCCAGTGCACACCACATCGTGGAACCTTACGACCACCCCATCAGCCACCGCCACCTCCGTATTACCTATTCCTCGATGAAACATTCCGACAAGACATTCATGGGCATGACGACCAGTCCGAAGAATGCGGAAGACGTCATGGACATGTGCGCGATCCTGTTCGGCGAGGAATATCTGGAAAATCATCCGGTCACGACCGGAAACTGTAACGGCAACTCACCGCTTGTCTGGGACGAGACCATGCTCGGCGCCATGCGGGCCTTCAGCAAGCGGAACCAGCCCGTTCTTTGCTCACCCTTTGTGCTTGGTGGCGCCAATACACCGGCATCTGTCGTTCCGGCGGTGGCGCAGCTCAACGCGGAGGCTCTCAGCGCACTCGCCTATACCCAGGTGATCCGCAAAGGTGCGCCTGCAATATACGGGCACTACCTGTCGACGGTGTCGATGAGATCCGGCGCTCCGATGGCCGGTACGCCTGAAATCAGCCTGATGAATTTTCTCATTGGGCAACTGGCCCGGTACTATGACGTCCCGTGGCGCAGCTCGGGATCACTTGGCGGCGCGAAAACCTTCGACGCGCAGGCCGGATACGAAAGCGCCACAACTCTGAACGCGGTCATCCATGCAGGTGCCAACTACATCTGGCATGCGGCGGGCTGGAACGAGGCCGGCATGCATTGCTGCGTTGCCAAGTTCATCGTTGATGCCGAACAGTGCGCGATGGTCTATCGCATGGCGGAGGGGCCTCGCTGGGACGATTTCGACGAGGCACTCGCCGCGGTGCGTGATGTCGGCCCGGGCGGTCATTACCTCGGCCATCCCCACACCCAGGAGAACTTCCAGCGGGCTTTCTTCATGCCGGACATGTTCGACAACAATTCGATCGAACAATGGAAGGCGGAAGGGGAAGTCGAGATTACCGAGCGGGCCCTGAAACAGGCCAGAAAGCTTTTGTCCGAATATCAGGAGCCGAAACTCGATGAAGCCAGAAACGAGGCGTTGCTCGATTATATTGCTCGCCGCGAGCGTGAAATTCCGGCGGAAGACGCCCTGAACCAGGACTACTGACGATCGCCGGGAGAGGCGTCCTGTCCTTCCCGTTGTCTCCCAGAATTTCGGAATGCCAGATGAAAATCAAATCGGTCGAGATATTTCGCCACGATCTTCCGGTAAAGAACGGGCCATACACGATGGCCAATGCAGAGGTCTGGGCTCTGGAATCGACATTGGTCAAGCTCGTTGCCGACAACGGTAAAGTTGGCTGGGGTGAGACATGCCCGGTCGGACCGACATATGCCGAAGCACATGCGCGTGGTGCGCAGGCTGCGCTCAGACAGTTGGCCCCGGCATTGATCGGCAAAGAGATCCTGCCGCTGACAATCAACAGGCTCATGCATGGTCAGCTCAACGGGCACAATTATGCCAAGGCAGCAGTCGACATTGCCGCCCACGATCTGTTGGCAAGACACTACGATATCCGGGTTGCCGATCTGCTGGGTGGCGCGACACGGGAACGATTGCCGTCTTACTACGCGACCGGCGTAGGAGCGCCCGACGACATCGCGAGGCTGGCCGCTCAGAAACGGGATGAGGGATACCCGCGTCTGCAGATCAAGGTCGGCGGCCGTCCCGTGGAACTCGATATCGAAACGATCCGCAAGGTCTGGGAAACGGTTTCAGCGTCGGGCATGCGGCTCGCCATCGACGGCAACCGGGGATGGACAACACGCGACGCGCTCCGTGTAAGCCGGGAATGCCAGGACATTCCGTTCGTGATGGAGCAACCCTGCAACAGGATCGAGGATCTGGAAAAGATCCGGCCGCAGGTTTCCCACGGCATTTACATGGATGAAAGCGGCGTCGATCTTGCCACCGCAATTCAAGCCGCAGGACGCGGGCTGGTAGATGGTTTCGGCATGAAGGTAACGCGGATCGGCGGTTTGCAGCAGATGGCCGCATTCAGGGATGTCTGTGAAGCATTCAATCTGCCCCATACATGCGATGATTCCTGGGGTGGTGACATCATCGCGGCCGCCTGCACTCATCTCGCCGCCACTGTGAAGCCGTCGCTCCTTGAAGGTGTCTGGCTTGCCGAACCCATGATCGAAACGCCCTATACGATAAATGAAGGCGTGAAAATTCGCGAAGGCCACATCCGATTGCCGCAGGGCGCCGGACTTGGCATTGAGGTGAACGAAGCACTGTTCGGTGCACCCATCGCCTCGTTCTGACCGGGAGATCTCACATGCGATTTTCAGAAAAGCGTGTTCTGGTGACCGGAGCCGCAGGCGGCATCGGTCAGGTAATCACGAAGATGCTGCGGGCCGAGGGTGCAAGAGTGGCTGCCGCTGATCGAAACTGCGATGGTGTTGCGGCTGATGCGGTATTTGCCGGAAACCTGCTGGAGGCATCTTACGCTGACAGGCTGCCGGTGGTGACGGCGGAGGCACTCGGCGGTCTCGATATCATCATCAACAATGCGGGCGTAATTTCCCGGGGCCCTGTGACCGAAACCAGTGATGCGGATTGGACGCTTTCGGTCGGTGTCAATGTGGAGGCACCTTTCCGGATCTGCCGCGCAGGTATTCCGATTATGGCTGCATCCGGTGGCGGCGCGATCGTCAATCTTGCATCGTGTTGGGGCGTGCACCCCGGTCCGAACCACGCGCTTTACTGCATGACAAAGGCCGCGATTGCCTCTCTGACCCGGTGTATGGGACATGACCATGCCCATCAGGGTATCAGGATCAATGCGGTTTGCCCGAACGAAGTCGACACACCGATGTTGCGTTCCGGTTTCGAACAACGCGGCTTTGACCCGCAATCGGCAATCGAGGAACTCGGCAAGACCGTTCCACTCGGACGGGTCGCCGCGCCCGCCGATATTGCGGAGGTCGTGTTGTTTCTTGCGTCCGACGCGGCCCGCTACATGTGTGGATCCCTTGTCGAGGTCAATGGCGGAAAGTCGGTTTCATGAATCGGTTCGAAGGCAAGGTTGCGATCGTTACCGGAGGGCGCAGCGGGATCGGCAGGGCCATTGCCATGCGGCTGCGCGACGAGGGCGCCCGGGTGTTCACCGCACAGCGTGGCAAGGACCCTGACTTCGAGCATGTGCCTGCAGACTTTGCAGATTTGGCTGTGCCCGAACGCATTGTCGGTGAAATTGCCACGCGCGCGGGCCGATTGGATGTGCTCGTCAACAACGCAGGGATCATGCAGGAAGCCGTCGTAGAAGAGATGGATCTTGACGACTGGCAGCGCTCTTTGAATGTCAATCTCACTGCGCCGTTCCTTCTGATCAAACACGCGCTGCCGCATCTCAGGCAAAGCCGTGGTGCCATTGTGAACGTGGGATCCATCGAAGGCATCAGTTGCAATGCCCATCACGCCGCCTATTCGGCGTCGAAAGCGGGGTTGCATGGATTGACGCGTGCGGTGGCTGTTGATCATGGCAAGCATGGCATCAGGTGCAATGCCGTCGCGCCGGGCTGGATCGATACCGACCTCAATCTCGATTTCATCAACGCGATGCCGGATCCGGACGCCTTCAGGCGGGATGTCGGTTCTCTCCATCCGGTTGGACGAACCGGAAAACCGGCAGAAGTGGCCGCCCTTGTTGCGTTCCTCGCTGCTGAAGAGAACGGATTTGTCACGGGGCAGACATATGTCGTGGATGGCGGGCGAATGACCCGCTTGAGCCTTCCCTGAGCCGAAGCAGTTCGCTTGAAGCCTGTCCATCAATTGATCCAACATGCGATGGATGCACTCTAGATTATGGTCTCCGGCTGGCGTTGGTACACTGCACGAATAGCTGATTTCATAGAATTGATCAGGCTCGCATCCTGTTGGTCACCGACACCGACAACAAGTTTGGATGAAGGAGTTGGCGAAAATCCGTGAACCTCATCGAGGATCTTCATCGAACCGTCGATCGAGGAACGACCGAGCAGACCGACAGCGACACCTGCCTCGACTGCCGCCTTTACTCCCGCCACGCTCTGGCTGGAATAGGCAACGCGGAAGGCTTTGTCACTCGCGGAAAGGGATTTGATTGCCGCGTCCCGCCACCAGCAGGCACGGTCGAACAACGCCACCGGCAGAGGATCTGTCTCCAGAAGGTTCCTGTGCTTGCTGCTGACCCAGTGCGTGGTGTCCTCGAATACGACCTCTTCGCTTGAAGACGGATTCTGGACCTCGTAGACAGCGAGATCAAGTCTGCCGCTGGACAGCATTACCGGAAATTCCGGGCTCAATGAGCAGGTCACGTCAAGCTGAACCTGCGGGTTCGCCTGTACGAACCTTCCGACGATCTGCGTCAGTTTTGTTCTGCCGTGATCGTCCGGGATTCCAAGCCGCAATGTCCCGCTCAGGGACGTGGACGTGAGGTCGCGCAGCGTCGCATCCAGCCTTGCGGTTACTTCCCTTGCCACCGGAAACAATTGTTTTCCCGCATCCGTCAGGGTGACGCCGCGGCCGGTTCTGTGGAACACCGGTTGGTCGACGATCTGCTCAAGTCGCGCCATCTGGAGGCTTATCGCGGACTGAGACCTTCCGATTCTCAGTCCGCCCTCCGTGATGCTGCCCGTTTCGGCAACGGCAAGAAAAGTGCGCAAGAGATCACTGTCGAGATGTTGCATCGGTTTTACCAATATCAGAAATTTAAGATATTCGTTTTTCTTATGAATGATTTGCTTCTATCGTGCAACCACAAACGATAGGAGCCAAAAAAATGGATGTCCGTGGCACTGCTTTGACCGCGATCAGGATCCGGTCGCTTCGACTGGCTGCTTGCGTCGCTCTGATGATCCTGCCCGTCGCCATCTGGCCGGGTTTTTTCTGGGAAGGTTTCAAATTCTCGATACTTGGTCTTGTTGCCGTCTCGCCGCTAGTCGTTCCCGGCATTGCGCTGACGGCGTGGATCATCGCCAGCGGCGCGGACAGCAAGATAAGGCTCGCGTTCGAGGGCAATCATGGTCGATCAATTCTTATGGCCTCGTTGATCGGGGCAATTACGCCGGTCTGTGGCGTCACCGTGCTTCCGCTTATGGCAGGACTTCTGGGAGCCGGTGTTCCTTTGGCACCCGTCATGGCGTTCTGGCTGTCGTCACCGATCACTGATCCGGCGATGCTGGCGACAACAGCGGCAACACTTGGAATGCCGTTTGCGATCGGCAAGACGCTGGCAGCCTTCGGCATGGGTCTGCTTGGCGGCCTTGTCACATCGCTGGTTTTTCGACAGCAAAGCGGCATTACTGCCTTGAGATCCAATAGGTTGACAGTGTCGTCTTCCGCCTGTGCCTGCGGACAGGACAACGATTTCAACCCGTATGTCTGGCAGGACAGTGAAAGGACTACCGTCCTGAAAAGGCAGGCTTATTCGACAACGCGCCTCATCCTGATCTGTCTGATACCGGCCTTTTTTGCCGAATATGCACTCAATACAGCTCTCACGCCCGGGGCGCTTGCGACCTATGTCGGAAACGACAATTGGTGGTCGATACCCATGGCGGTCTTTGTCGGCGCACCGGCATACATTGACGGCTATGCGGCTTTGCCTCTGACCCGCGCCCTTTTGGACAACGGCATGGCAGCAGGTGCCGCGATGGCGTTTCTGGTTGCAGGAGGGGTAGTCAGTATCTGGGGCGCTCTTGCGATCTTCCCGGTTCTGCGGCTGAAGCCGTTTCTGCTGTACCTGGTGCTGGCGGTGATCGGGTCACTTTTGTCCGGTTACCTTTTCGAGTGGTACTTCCGAACTGCTTGAACGATCTACTCTGCCGCCGCCCGCCATTCCTTCCAGCGCAGGACCATGTTGGCTCCGATCTCGCGAAAGGGCTGCGGCGGCAGTTTCGTCGGCGAAGCCTCCGTGCCGAAGTGGCGGGTGATTTCACTGGAAACGCCAAAGGCAAGATCTGCAGCGCCAATACCGGTAAGGGTTCCGCGCGCTGTGCCGAGGCCGTTCTGTACACAGCCGGAAAATACACCGTCCTCCAGTTCCCGCATGACGGCCACCGAATTGAGACTGAGGCACAGATGCCCAGCCCACCGGTATTCCATTTGCATTCCTGCAA